TTTCTTTTTGGGTCTTCCTCATTCTACATAATTACACTCCCGTATGGCACAAAAGATCACTCTCTGACATACAGTCCTCACACATGCATGGCTTTGAATGTGTCCACAGTGACTGGGTGTTACATCAGTCTTTAGACTTTCCCCTGTCATCTGATTTACTGGTCTGTGGGGAAGTGCTTTTATTTTGGTCCAGCGTTCTCTCGAGGGGGGTGTCATCTTTCGGATATGGGGCTGCTGAGCAGGGTATTTTTAGGTATGTTTATTTTGAAATAATCACCCCAAGATGCTTCTGTCTTTCTGATAGTATGCTATTACACTCATTCATCCTTTGTCTGTGTGGGCCTGTGTGTTATACTGTACTGTACCATTTTTAAGCTCTAAGGCTTGTCATTTATTTGAATATTCCTCTCTTGGTGCATTTTTTAATCTGTTTCCCATTTTCTCTCATTCACTCACATTCTCTGTCTCTGTGCCCCTGGTTTCTACCCAGCCCCCTGGCATCTCACCCCCTCTCCCTGGCCCCTGCCTGTCTTGTTTGATATAAATATCGTGTCGGGTTGGCCTGATGGGGTAGGGTTTCGCTGTGGGGCTGTGGCCGGTTCTGCTCTTTTGCTCCCTGGCTATAAACAGGTGAGCTGTGGACCCAGCGTTGCCCACATGTTAATAGAAGAGATTAGATGGCTCAGGTTCCTTCCCTGCCGGCCTGTCTGCGCTGTACTCCATGCTCTGTGGGAAATGTGCAGTAAAAACATTGACATCTCCCTTATCCTGGTATTCAAAGCATGCTGTAGTTAGTGGAATGAGTCCTGTAATTGTCAACACATTATTTTCATTTTCTGGACTGACAGATAGGGTTTTGTATCTGAGCACATTCCTCACCGGCTCTCTACCTTGAGTCCTGCGGTACTGGAGGAATGTGTGTTCTGCTTGAGTAGATTTTATTACAAAGCATCATTTTGATTCCCGGAGCGGACAGAGGAATGTGAGGAATTCCCCATGCACCTTCGCTCCCATCTGATAAACACTGCAGGACCGTGGCAGGGCCTTGAGTGAGGAGGGGGTGTGCACAGGCAGGACTGTACATGTACCCACTGCCACAAGAATGTACAGTATCCACATAACTCCAGACTTGTTTGTTGAACATAATGGAGATTAGTTACCACAGTGTGACCACAGATGGATCCTATGACAGAGTTAGCTACTGTTAAAGTAAATCGTATATTGTTTGACTGGGATTGATGAATTCATCTTGAATTATTAGTCCCAGTCATGTCCTTTTTGATGACAACTTTATTCCTCCAGACCCTGCACAATGGACTATTGAGTCAGGATGCTATTAGAGTAGAATTGGACTTTGTCCATCGCGGCTTCTACCCCCTGTCTGGAATGGAAAAGATTAGCTTGTTACTTGGCTTACAGTGCATGTTTGCATTCTTAATGCTTCTAACTCTTCTTGGACCAAACTCGTCTGAGGCTGGCGAAGGCCCGGTGTCCGTCCTCATGCCAGATTCAATGCTGCCCTCCTCAGGGACATAAGGGAAGCAAGAAAATTTCAGTAGCATCTTCATCTTCATCCTTTTATGACCTGCAGCAAATGATATCAAAGAAATGCACTTGATGGTCACTGCGAAGTGTGTGTGTGTGTGTGTGTGGATGTGTGTGTGTGTGTGTGTGTGTGTGTGTGTGTGTGTGTGTGTGTGTGTGTGTGTGTTTAATGGAGGCTGCTCTGTCAAAGGCTACAAAAGGATGTGAGCTGGAAGTTTTGGATAGTAATTATACTTTTCTGGTGCTAAATTTAAACAGGTCTGACTGTGTTACTGGTCTCTGCTAATGCCCTGTTTTGGTCTTTCTTTATCCTGATATAGAAATAGCAAAAACCATACTTGTGCATCTCCCACTGTGATTAATTTGCCGTCCATGTTAGGGCTGTGACTGATGATTATTTTTATTGTTAATTAATCTGTTGATTATTTTCTCTTTTGTTTTAATGTGAAATACAAGTGAAAAATCACAAAATTTCACAGTTTCCTAAAACCCAAATATGAGACCTTTTAAATAACTTGTTTTCACTATCACATAAGAAAAGCAGAATATCCTCCTGCAGGAACTGGAGAATGTTTGGTTAGTTGAAGTAGTTGCAATTTTCTGTTTATCGACTAATTAATTAATTGATTAATTGTTTTACCTCTAATCCTCATCTTCTTTGAAGCCCTTATATGTAGGACATGGACACCAAGAATGAAGGGCTAAAAGTAATTGAAACAATTTAACAATTGTCACTGGGACTGATCTGTTTTTCTACAAAAGAAAAACTTGCTGTAGTCACATAAAAAATCTATCCTTAGGGGCCTTAAAACCTACTGTAGTTTTATTACTCAGCAAGGAATGAATGCAGGCTTCATGCATTTGCCATCATAGTTTGATTTAAACAATGAATCTAGCCGTGATGCATGTCCCCTGTGGAGATCTTTTCTGGACTTGATGGGCCTCGGCCTGACTCACAGATGTGTACTATCAGCAGGTGGGAGGGGGTATAATGAGTGCAAAGACTCTATTACAGAGGGAGTCTCAAAAACTTGGCTCCATCTCCAAGTGTTTTGGAAGATCTCAGGCAGTACGGCTGTCCCCTCTGTCAAGGCCACGGAGAACTTTCTAGGAATACATTACCATAATTAGTCAGTTTTGGGCCATTTTCTAAACATTTGACAAGTTTTAAGAGCAGCTCCAAGTGAAATGTGAATCTAAATCTAAATCCTTCACTGTGTTTTAAATGAGTTACCTTTGTCCCAAAACCAGTTGTGGTATCTTTCTATATGGAGTCTTTGTTTTATGAGCAACAAAGTCGACTTCAGTAAGACCTTGTTTAGCATGTCAGCACCAGGTGCAGATTATTTTGAGCTGGTCATGATATTTCAGCACATTTGCACAGACATGGGCTACTTACTGAGCTTACCGCTTTAAATAGGCTTGTGCTCCCATGTGGTTTATGTCAAACTTCATGGCTAAAACATTTAGCTTCTCAGCTAGGATCTCCCTTTGCACTGAAGACGATGATGAAGACACGTGACTGAATATAGTGGAATTCACCACTTCATCTAACATCTAACCTTTTAAACTTATCCTAGTTGATTTGACCTTTGTCACAAGTTTTCTACTTTAGGTTTGACATAACAGCCGAAGTTATATTCACTCTGTAAATGGGAATTTGTGGACAAGAAGGCACTAATGAATTAGACTTCCACTGTTACTAGATACAGCGCCACTGAAAGGATACTGTTGTTGAAAGGATACTGTAACCCATGTTTGGCCCTCAAACCACTCCCCCCCCCTCCCCTCAGTAGACTGGCAGCATGTTGCTCACACTATCTTTGTCTGCTGACTGCTTCACACACACACACACACACACTCACACACACACACACACACACACACACACACACACACACACACACACACACACACACACACACACACACATATGCACATACACCTAACCCTAACTGGAGGATATTACAGGTACAGCAAGTGGAAAAAATAATGTGAGTACAGATACTGGACTTTTTAATGATTTAAAAGCTGAATATTTGTGATGCTCGATCACTGTGACCTGACAGTTTTTGTCTGTTATATTAGATGTTGTCTTTTATTTACTTATTATAAGATTAAATTGTAAAGGCTTTGTTGTTTGGTCTTTTAGTGGGAACAGCTATAGACCCTATACCATGCCTGACTTGATTTTACACAGCTGATTGTGAGTAGTGTGGAGGCAGTGTCTGCCATGAGTCTGTACGTAACTTTAATCAACTTTACATGAAGTTTTGAGTTAAATATTTACTTTTATGCAACTTTGTTTGAATTAATGGTGGAGTATTTGGAGAAGTAGAATTATTTAAACAACAGTATGACATAAATAATGATATTTTATTCCATTTATATACTTGTTTCTTCAAACAACTCCAAGGCGGGAGAGGAAATAAGTTTTCATCCATGAACAAATTCCAAATTTAGAGGAAAACTTTCTACTACATAGACTGTATTTTAGAGGTGGCAGAAGTGTTATTTATTTGGGCATTTTTCCACTTTACTTTTTTGGTGTTACAAGCTTAAATGTGCAGTGCTTCCTTGAGACGGACTGTCACAGGTCCAAGCCTGTGTAGTGTAGGAGTATGCAGCCAGTGATTGCGGTCTATTCTGGACAGGCTGAGGATGGATGGATTGTGTGATGTAAGAGTCTATTTTGTTCCTGCGTTCCTCCGAACACTCAGCAGGGCAACGCTGTGCCCCCTTAGCCCTGGACAGGATTCAGAAACACTGTCTGCCTGTCTGCTTCTTTGTTCCTATCAGTCTGGCTTGTTAAGTTCACACTGGTTCTCATAAAACACAGGCTGGTCACAGACATTTAAACATGACTCACAGAGGTATAACATACTGAAATGACACATCGAGCTCATTGACAGGTAGATGTCATTTTCAGCAGGCTTGTATTTATAGTGTGGACTGATGGAAAAAGTATGTTGGGGATTTCAGTGGGATATTTTATGAAGGCCTAAAAGGTTTAGGAATGTAAGTTGGGCTCAGTGATCAGTGGTACTTTTCCAGTCTGTGATGGTGACTGGGCCTAACCTTATCGTTGGGAGATACATGCTGAGGAGAAATCTTTTTTTGGAATGAGAAACTGGGTCCGACTCTCCACGACTGACTGTTCACAGCATGACACCACAGTCAGCGGTCGCCTCGGAGCCAAACAATCCCCGTAAAGAATTAAATGGTCTCCAGACCAACCATGCTGGCAGGTTGAGACATACAGCAAGAACAGTTCAGGAATGTTTGTATTACTGTGTCTAATTTTGAAAAGACTGTTATTTAAAGGAAAGTAAGACATTTTCTAATCAACTGTAAAAGCAAATACAAAGATTTTATGGGCCAGCACCACTGTGCGGTACATTATGTATGATTTACTTACAACCAACCCAATCAAATACAAACATCATACCTTTCAGACGCTTTGCTGGCGGACCTGGAATCAACTACGTCCCACATCTCAAAAAGACCGGTATTCTTGCCTGACGAGACCCCCTACTCCATTCCCACCGGAGGACACTCATACCAGGATGTGTCAGTTCCACCTCCAGTCCCTCCTCCACCCTCAGCCGAGGCGCTGAACGGCTCCCTGGTAGATCAGCCGGACTCCCACCACTCCTCTCAGCAGGTAAGTCACGTTAGATCACTGTAGTGTGATCATGTACAAAACTAAATTAACTGATGATTTTTTGTTGAAGCTCTTCAACAAACTGATTTATAGACTGTTTACCAAGCAAGAGAAAGTACAAGAATGCTACACAGCATGTTGGATATAGTAAATTAATGAAAGATGTATACATAATAAGATTTGAGCTCCTGGTAATGTCAAATTAAAAGCCAAGTAAAAATTTTTCAGTATGTCTGACTGATGTATCCTCTGCAGTCATTAGGTTCAGCGCAGAAGAGCTCATGGTCCAGGGACAGTAGCAGCTCTCCGTTGTCTCACATTGAGGAGGACCACGTCTACAGGTAGCCTGCCACACACCTGCGATGTTGTGGGTATAATGTTGAGCTTATCACGAGTTGTGATGGACAGTTTTCTCTTTACGTCTCCTCGTCAGTTTTCCAAACAAACAGAAGTCCTCGGACTCGTCAACAGCAGCCATGACCTCTGCCCTGGGCAGTAACCTCTCAGAGCTCGACAGGCTGCTGCTGGAACTTAACGCAGTGCAACAAAGCTCCCCTTCATTCCCCACAACAGGTAGACACAAAGCCTTCAGCTTTATCAGTTTTGTTTGTGGTGAGCAGAATGAGTTGTACTGCTAATGTGTCCGCAGAGGAGGCAGCTCCGCCCTTACCTTCCTGCAGCATCACCCACTATGAGAATGGCGGCGGCCCTGACATCATGGTGAGCCCTCCGCCTCAGGAGAAACCCAAGAGGAATGGAACAGAACGGTTAGACGAAACCCGACCCACTGTGGAGAGTCTGCTGGACGAGCTGGAGGGCTCAGTGCCTTCACCCAGGTACAGACAGTCTACCCCCCACAACTTCTCTCTAGCTTATGACACTCATTAAGCTGAAAAACAACCAGATGAGAGGGTGAAAGTTCTGCTTTCATAATACACTCAGATAAATGTATTACAGATTTTGACCAAATGTTCATTACGTTGATTTATTTCTTTAAGATTGCTTCAGTTGCACTTTGTTGCATTTGGTTTTATAAACACACACCTGTAAACACACCTCCACATCAGCCAAGCCCGAAAATGTTTCTGCGATATTTTGAGTTGCTTCCAATTTTTGCTATTTCCACTCAGATTTCTTTGTGTGCCAACTGAAAACAGGTTGATGGAAACATTAAAATTAGGGAACACTGTTTGGATCATCTTTCCTCAAAACCGTTCATACTGTTGCACTCATGTTTCCACGCAAAAAGTGGAAGTAGTTGTGTGAAGAATGAAAGAGAAGTTCAAACGCTACCTGCTCCTACCTACGTCTGCATACCTGGCCATTACAAAAATTGTTGGATCCACCGCAAACTCTACAGTGCTGATGACTTATGATAACTTCTCTCTCAGCACATGGTTTAACAAGACCATGTAAACAGATTGACAGTGGCATGAAAAGGGTGCCTGGTTTGTTTTGTTTGACTTTGTGATGTTTGTTTTTGGGGATTAGGAAAACGAGATATCTCCTCTCACACAGACAAAACATGAATGCATGCTGCCAGCCAGTTAGCCTGTCAGCTGTCGTCTCTGTTAAATTGCAAATTATAATAGAAAATGTGAAGCTTGTTCTCTGTGGTGTGGCTGTGGTGTGTTCGAGCTCTGAGCTTTACTTTTGCCTTAGGGTCAGAGGGAATCTCGTGGGAACAATAGATGTTTTGACTTCTGCTGTTAGCAAGGTTTCAACATTTGCATGTAATTACAGATCATTTTATAATTTGTATTTTCCAGCCCCCCTGCTTGCCACAGCGATTTGGACACCCCCTCTCAGCAACAAGCCAGAATTTCAGCTTCCTGTGCCACGAGAGAGTTAGATGAGCTGATGGCCTCTCTGTCTGACTTCAAGGTAAAAAGCAGAAGGAGTAAATACTGGAAGAGCTTCATTAATCAACAAAGTCAAGCTAGGGGATCTGTCATTTTCCCTGTAATTTCCCTCTCCTCTTCCTCTGCTTACTCTCTCATTTTTCTGTTCTCCAGCCCAGTTCTTTGGGCTCTCTGCTGGACCCAGCAGGAGCATCTTCCAGCTCTCCTCATCCTCCAGTCTCTTCCTCCGTCACCCCAGTGGCTTCTCCTTTTCCTAGTCTGTCCCACCCGTCTGCCTGTGCCTCTCCTCTCTTCTCTTTGCCTACTGGTCTAGAGCTGCATATAGACGAGGATGGAGGAGACGGTGGGGTGTCGATGTCCCATTCAAACCGCCTTGCTCCCCACAGTCCTATATCCTCACTTTCTGCAGCCAGTGATCTAGACCTGGACTCTATTATAGACGTCTCTGCCACCATGCTGTCATCCCAAACCAAGTCTCTGCTAGTCCTCTCTCAGTCCGCTTCTTCTAGTTCCAACCTGATGAGAAATAGCCCAAGTCCTTCCAATACCACCACCACCCCCTCACTTACTTCAGTTAACACTGTCCTGGACCACAAGTCCTCCAAGTGCTCCACTCCATCTGTAGAACGGGTCTCGCCCTCAAATACTGTTGGTAAATTCTCTTGTGCTCCTGAGACTGGGAGCAAGGGCTTTGCTTCTTTTCATGACCTTGATTTGAATTTCTCCTCTCCATCTCCATCAAAAAACCTCACCCCTCCTCTCTCAGCGCCAAAGACTCCTTCACCCCTCCCTGTCGCTCTCTCTGTATCTCCACCTTCTGCACACGCTTCCCCAAAAGCATCTTCACCATCTCCAGTCTCTTCACTGGTGTCCCCCTCTCCACTGGCCTTCACAGCCCCCAGTAGACAGCTGTTAGATGCGGCACCCACAACCCAGAGAGCCAGCCCCTTCACTGAGCAGCATCCCCCCATGGCTGGGCCTTCCCTGGATGAGGCACTAGACAAGCTGCTAGCAATGGGTTTTTCCCAGAATCACTCAGCAGCACATGTGGAAGAACCACAGCTGAAGATGGATGCACAGTGTCTGGGAAGAGGAATGCAGGAGCTGCACGAGGAACTCATCCTGCCCATGGACAGAAACAGTGTGCAGCCTGACACTTTCACCAGTGCCACCAACACCATCACAGACGACTCAGTGGACGGAGGCACTGATGGAAACGGAGATCTGGACTGGGCTGATGAGGAGCTGTCCGTGTCCTTCCATGACGGACTGGATGGCACCATGACGCCTTACACTGAGAGGCCATACACAGATGGCAGCATGACACCGATGACAGAGGCCAGCTGGATGGATGAGTCCATGACCCCGTCTACATGCCCCGGGACCCCTGACGTTGCCCTGGACCTGCCCATGCTGCAGACTCCAAATATAGACAGAGTGTCTGCATCCGGACATGTATGCATCTCCTCTCCTGCTCGACACATGCTGCGCTTGTTTTCTTCACATTTAGTTTTGATTTTTGTTCTTGCTTGTGAGATTGATGCTTCGACACAAGCTCTAGTGTCTGCTACACCAGTCTTCGCTCAGAGGGTTTCTTTCATGTGTTTTCTTGACCTGAAAACATGAAATATTTATTCAGTACTTTACTCATCAAGACTATTTTAGAAGTATTTTTGTGGACAGAGGAGAGATGTGAAGTGACTGGGAACAAGGAGACAGAGAGGGGGAAGTCACTAATGGTCACTAATGGTCATTTTAACACAGAAAAGACCATGATTGCTTTGTTTACATTTCATATCATCTCTTAAATCTTGGTTAGCACTGTCAAGTATAGGTGGAACAATTAGTCAATTAACTTATTTTTTGATTGACTGAAAAGAAATCAACAATTTTGATAATCAGTTAAGCATTTCAGTTATTTAATCAAGCATATATTTCAAATATTCACTTTTTTCAGTTCCTCATGTATTAAATGTTGCAGCTTTTCTATGTTTTATATTGTTTTAAGTTGCATATCTTTGAGCTATAGACTATTGGTCACATAAAACACCACATATTTGTTTCACCTTGCATAGACTACATGGCTTATTGATTATTCAGACAAGGTGCTCTGATTTCACTGTCCAGCCCAGTATTAGATGCTCATTTAACTGGGCAAAAACTATAGAGAAAAAACAGTATTATGTTTGAGCTTTGCATAATAAAAGATGAAAGAAACCCTCTTTGAGAAAATACATTGTCAGATAGAAGCTTGTGGAATAGACGTTAACTTGAAAAGGGGAGTGGCTCTTTCTAATCAGGAGGTTTTTTTTGATGCTGCACTTTATAAATAACTCACTGATTTCCAGTTTCAGTACTCAGCATGTTTACACATGTAAACCACAGTCCTTTTCACCTGCTGCACCAGTTTTGTGTGGAAGGAACCGAATGTGACCTCTGACCTGTGTTGTGAAGTCGGAGTGGTTGCTTGAGAGACTGAGAAGGCTGGGGGGGGGGGGCCTGGGGCAGAGTTTTGAAAGCATCAGACATAAGCATGCAAGAAGAGCATGAAGTGTGACTCTAAGCCCACTGACCACTGCTTCCCGGCCCATCAGTGATTTGAAAATCATAATCTGTGTGACTCACCTGCTGCTACAGAGCTCTGCTATAACTGCTTCAGCTGCTTTATGATTGGTGTGGACATATGATAAGTAACTCATCATTCCACCTCAGATAAAATCAGTGATTAGGCGCACCAAGGAGACTCCCAACGTACATCCCATGTACAGAGATGGTCTCCTGCGCAGGAAGATGGGACCCATCATTGTAAACAAGAACAGTTCTCAGGACCGCCTCATAGAAGAGCTTCAGGGAAAGCTCGGGATCGGCCGCTCAGAGCGGCGGCGTAAACAGTCTGATGACTGGCTGACCGAGGGTGTCGTCGTCAGTTCCAAACCCCAGCGTTTCCGTCCTGATGGGGCCTGCAGTGAGGTCGACAAGGTTGGCTTTAGTGTGCTGAGCAGTTTTCCCAAATATTTTTCTCCCCAATTAATTCACCCTTCGTTTTCTGCACATTCTCCTCCGTGTGTCTGCTTCCTTCTCTCTGTTTTTCTCTCCTCTTCCTCAGATCATAATTCCCCCAGAGTCGCCTGTCCCCGTAAGGAAGGTGCTCCCACCTCTCTCTCCCCCAGCCCCTCGCCGCCCTCCTAATGTAGAAGAACCTAAGCGGCCACTGGTTGTACAGCATCCCCTCGTTCCTATACCACCACCACCACCTCCTCCTCCACCACCTCCCTCTCCCCCTCCCCCTCCCTCTCCCCCTCCACAACATCCACGCATCCATGAACCAGTTCACGCTCCACCTCGGCAGATTATAAAAGCTTCACATCCACCACCACCACCACCACCCCTACCTCAGGAAGCTCTCGCCCCTAAACCAGAGCCCCCTCCTCCTGCTCTTACAATCCCGACACAACCTCCACCAGTGGAGCCAGTGATACCAGTTGCACCCAAAGTCCTGGTGTCTGTAGGCTGCCAAACAGAGTATGACCCTATCTTCCCTCCGATGCAGGCATGAACCCCTGTCTCTTATCCCTTCTGTTTTTCACACTGAGAAGAAGCATACTGTGATCATTATTTATCTTAGTAACCTCAGACTTTGCATTTCTCCCTGTGTTGTTTAGAAATACATAACTGTTTTCATAATTGACCCATTTCAGATTATGGCCCAAGGTAAGGGTGGTGTTCCTGGTGGGCCCCCAACACAGGTCAACAAGCTGGACAACATGCTTGGTAGCCTGCAGTCTGACCTCAACAAACTGGGTGTGCAGACAGTAGCTAAAGGAGTGTGCGGTGCCTGCTGTAAGCCAATCGTAGGACAGGTGAGGTGCTTTTATTAAGGTAATATATCTGGAATATGTAAGTAGAGTTTGCATACTAAAAGTCCACTATTCTGCTTGTGTAGGTGGTGACCGCCATGGGCCGCACATGGCACCCTGAACACTTTGTGTGCACACACTGTCAAGAGGAGATTGGTTCCAGGAACTTCTTTGAGCGTGACGGACAGCCTTACTGTGAGAAAGATTACCACAACCTGTTCTCCCCACGGTGCTACTACTGCAACGGGCCCATACTGGATGTGAGTCACTGCTGTTTACATGTGTGTGATCGTCTATATTGGAGTTAACAGTCAGCCACCAATGAATGTTGTCGTGTCTGTACAGAAAGTTGTGACGGCGCTGGACAGGACATGGCATCCTGAACACTTCTTCTGCGCTCAGTGTGGATCCTTTTTTGGCCCAGAGGGTACTGTGCTGTGATTTCTTCATCACTATGACTTGTATTTATACTCGAAATTGTGCACTCCAAAATCATCATACTTGATTTATAATTTGTTTACAGTATGGATTGTATAACATCTGTTGTTTGTTTCTGTTTTTCCTGTGAAGGTTTTCATGAGAAGGATGGAAAAGCCTATTGCAGGAAGGATTACTTTGACATGTTTGCACCGAAATGTGGAGGCTGTGCCAGAGCCATTCTGGAGAATTACATCTCAGCACTGAACTGTCTTTGGCATCCTGAGTGTTTTGTGTGCAGGGTCTGTAAAACTGGTGTTTTTATTGAACATTCGTATTGTCTTCCTGTCGACCATGCAACTTTTGTCCTCCTGGGTCAAAATTGACCTGATCTGTTTAAGTAGTATAAAGTATAAAATTATTACCCAATAATTGCATTACACCTTTTCAGTCGACTTCATTCCAACTCATTACTGTGACATTTCCACCTTCTTTTGGAATTTGATGGTAAATAAACCTAATTTACATAAAAATATATTGTGTTTTTTAGCTTAAAAAAAACAACAAAATCTTGAATTATTTTGACTATAGTTACAACCAGAGGAACATATGTTGATGGATTATCACAGACAGGTACATGTCAGTTTAATCAGGATGCTATTTTGAAACCATTTCAGTAGTGTGACCCATTGTAGTGGCCGGGTCAGATTTGACCCAGGAAGACCACAGATGCTATAAATTTGAATAAAACACCCAAAATCCAGCCAGATTTCTGATATAAAAACATTTGAAAGCAGGAAGGTTAATGCACCTGAGCTTGCCTAACACTGTATAGATAATATGACTCAACAAGATACTGTATTAAGAGTAAAAGTATGGGAATAACACCATCTTCCTCTGTCTGTGCCTACAGGAGTGCTTCACCCCGTTTGTGAATGGAAGTTTCTTCGAGCACGATGGCCAGCCCTACTGTGAAGTGCACTACCACGAGCGCCGTGGCTCCCTCTGCTCCGGCTGTCAGAAGCCCATCACTGGTCGCTGCATCACAGCCATGTCCAAGAAGTTCCACCCGGAGCACTTTGTCTGCGCCTTCTGCCTGAAGCAACTCAACAAAGGCACCTTTAAAGAACAAAACGACAAACCCTACTGCCACGGCTGCTTCATCAAGCTGTTCAGTTAGGGAGAGCATTTAGCAGCATCACATACTGTGTGTGTCAGGGCTTGGATCAGTATCTAAAGCATCTTTAGCACAGGTAGGGTGAGAATGGATCGTGTTTGTATCAAAGAAAGTTGTCTGTTTTTTATTGATGACATTGGAAGTGTGTATGGATCAGGTATGTGCATGAGGCTGAAGCACCACACTGTCTCTGCCAGACTAAAATACTTTTAACGTGTCCTTCAGATATGTGGAAAACCTTTTTTAGACTGACAGCCATTTATTTTTGAAGCTTTTATGGGTTTGAATTGGAGTATAGGCCTCAGATTGATGCAGACGTGCTCAGTATTTAAAGGACATTGAGATTTTTCAGAACATGAAAAAGTGACTTTAGAGGGGTTTTACAGATCAACACTGATGTGCAGAAGACATCATTTTCACCCAGTCTACTTTAGATGTGTTGGACATTTTCCACAGGCAAAGAGTTGTCATTTGTTTTTGTAACTCTCACAACATTGTTTTTTCAAGTCTTTTTAGTTGTTTTTTTTTCTTTATCTTACTGATCACTGTAGAAATCCATAAAATACTCTGAGTGTTTGACATTGTTGCTCACTGGTTGAGTGTGTCATTTTAAAAACCATTAAAAAAAGAGAAATGTAAAAATCTGAAAACCATAACAGGGAACAGGTGACCTGTTGTTTTTAGCATTACAATGTGACCTGTCTTTACTGATGAGCTTTTAGATAATTTTTTTCATGATATTAAGTTGGAAAGTGCAGATGGATAAAAAAAATGGGCTGAGTCAGTGTTGACAATTATTTTGTATGTGTGAAATTGATTGTAGTGTCACTTATTCAGCCTAAGCCTTATCTGAAGATTTTAAGTGTTGATACTAGAGTGTTACAAAGTTGAGTTTCTATTATAAATGAATCAAGAAGTAAGAATCAGTCAGTTTTACAGTCTCTAACGTCAGAATCTCAATCACACTTATTTTTTTAGCCAAAGGCAAACCATGCATGGGTGAATATTTTACAGTGATTTTCAATGAAATAATTCAATATGAAGCCATCCACCAGAAGCTGCAGTATTTACTCTCAATTACATGTTTGAATAAACCTCACGTTTTTGTGCTGCCAAATCATTCCTTATTTTTTCACTGTAGAAAAGAGAAAAACAATCTGAAAAGGGTTTGTTGCAGTTGTCTCATACAGCAAAGTGGAGCCTCACAAAGATATTGGAATAATATTGTGCATCTCTTAAACTACCATGACTGACTGTGAATGCATCTTCAGAAGTGTTTTTGTAAATATCCAATGCAGCTACGCCATAAGCTTAACGTTTAATAACCACTCATTGGAAGAGGGAGAGGGCTGGTGAGAAGGCAAAGCAAAGATACTTTGATATTTTTGGTGTCATTACTGTATTGAGAAGCTGATGAATGTTCACTGTTTTGAAAGAAGTAGTACATAATGCAAGAAAATGTGTAAATGTGCCTGTGATACTTCAGTAACTCTATGCAACTGTGGATTAACAACTTTGTATTTCAGCATCTTTCTTACATAACAGTCCGTCTGTGCCATTTTATCAGTACCTTGTCTAATAACACTGGCAAATTCAGCAAAATACTGAGAACAGGTCAATAGTCCACAGTTATTCATGTTATTAGTCTGTGAGTCCACTGAGAAATGTAGGCTGTTAAAATGAGAGCCTGGTGGTCTGTCAGAGTGAATGGTAGGACTAAGATGACTCTTCCCTCAGCATCTGAGTAGCATCTACTGTATGACCACCAGGTTGGGTCTGTACATGGTTTAATCGTGACATGCAGCAGATTTATCGGGCCTTTTGTCTTGTTCAGGGAATTCTAGAGCCTTAAATCTTTTCTCACTCTATTTAAGAGATCATGTAACAGTTGTCTTTTTGAATCAATTTAATAGAGTGTTATTTAACCAAAGCCATACCTTCTTTGAATTTTATTTTTTTTTGTCTGTTCACTTTTTCTTTTCTTTTCACTTCGAATGTCAATAGTTATGAATAGTGAGATTCCTCACCTCTAATCTGATTACGCAAATAAATTCTGTTTTGTTATCAAAATGCTTTCCAGAGGCTTCATTTTTGCTTATACTGTCGTTCGGTGCACTTAAGCTTCAGGAAACACAACAAATATAAGTCCAACTCTGCAAGGCCTCCTTCCATGATCAGATTATGTAAAAGGGCCCCTCACCCCTCCTATGGAGGAGCAAGACACCCAGCCTGGAAGTTGACAAGGCTGCTGTTGTTCGTAGTTTTGTGACTGTAGTAATTATGTAGTTACTTTGCATGTATTTGTTGTTTTGCATGTCTTTGCAGTCGTTTAGTGTCTGTCTGCAGTTCTTTCGTGTCTGGTTGTGGTCAATTTGTGTTTCTTTGTCATTTTGAAGTAGTTTTGCATGTCTTTGTTTATTTTGCATCTCTTTGCAGATGTTTCGCATCTTTTTGTCAAGTAGTTATGTGCGTCTTTGTTGTTGTTTTGTGACTGTTTGTTATCATCTCATTGAGTTTCCAACAGGAAACATTATCAGCCACTTGAAAAAGAGGCTCTGGACCATGGTCCCACTGACAACCTGGGCCCCTAAGCCTGTACAGTCCAATCCAACCATACCTACTTCATCGCATTCCCACTCAAGATTAATAAAGACGTTTATTTGTTAATACATAATCAATGGAGACATATACAAAGTCACTATTACCACAGCATTTAAACTACAAAGGATACAAGTAAGAAAACTGATATTGCCTTTGTAGTTTGAGTAACCTTCAGACTGGGAGAATTATCAATCAATAATCAATTGTCAGTTTATACAGGAAACAGTGATAGTTATATGTTAACCTGTCAGTGGTTTGAAGACATGAGTGACTGTTTGCTCACATTCAACTTCATCAGTTTGACCGTTCAGATAGTAAACCACATGACTTGATTGAAAAACAGGCCTTAGATTAATAACGGCAGTACACGCCTCTTACCAGTTGGTTGCGGTAATGCATCGTCCTCGTTTGCCAACCGCCATAAAACTTTGAGAAGAAGAAGAAACAGAGCGCGTGTCTCTGCTGTGATTGGACAAAGTTTTACGTAGTAAAACCGTCATACCCGGAAGAATGACAAATATCTATTATTGTTGCTAATGTTTAAGGTAAGTCGAGCTTATTTCTAAAGTCTGGCCAAGAATTTATTAATAATTTATACTTTTCTACAACATGTTATGTCTATTTATACAAGTTGAAGAAACTTGGGTTTGATAGCGTCAGTTAATCCGAGCCTCTGCTGTCAAAAAAACACGCTCAGTAAGTAACCTCAACAGTTATGTGTCCCTGTTTAACAAAATGGACAATTTTATAGCATATCTCTCTTGTATCTTGATGGGTATTTATTCATAAAGTTTATCAAACATTAATTTATTTGGGGAACTTTTTGAGTGTAACATTGGGTGGTTGCTGTTACTCACCACCTAAGCTTTATAGTTTGGTAGTCAAACATTTTATAATGTAATGACGGAAACAGTCGCATTTTATATCAATGACCCCATTGTATTTTGTATTAGATGAATTAATTAGTCTGTTGGAAGTCTTTAGCTGTATTGCAGCGCCCTTTGAAAAATATTTGAATACCATATATTGAGGGTCAAACCTTTGTCTATTGATTTTACACAGATACTACACCACGTAGTCACAGCACTGTGGTATATCTGGGTTTTAGTTGTTGAATTTACAAAGCGAATAAAACAAACCACATGATTCCCTTCCCTCATAAAAAGACACTAGAAGTATTAAAACATCTTAAATTTCGTTATAATTGACAGTGGTTGTTTTTAGAAAACTTATCTGTGGTCGTTTTACATGTCTCTGGGTTTGCCTGTCTTTGTAGTCTTGTAACTGAGTTTTAAGGAGTTTCAAACCAGAGGCCCTGGTCCAGGGGAGCCCTGACCCCTCAGGCCTCTGGGCTTGTGTTCAGTAATCCATACATGTGCCTAGGGTCATATTAATAGATTAAAACAAAACTGTTTTCTACCCCTGAGAAGTACAAAAGAGTGATTGAAATGTCAATAAATTCATGTATTTCATAAATAAATGTACACCATGTGATAGTTAGTCTTCAGTTCTAAGGCTCTGCCAAATCACTCAACTGTAATTTTAAATATCAGCTGTGGATTTTATATTTTTTCTGACAAACTACTGAACCTTCAGTATCCATATGTCTGCCAGGTATCTTAATACAAAGAAGACACAATCGTTAGCTGGACCAAAATGGCATCCTACTTTGATGAACACGACTGTGAGCCCACCAACCCAGAGGAACAGTATCGGCAGAACGCACTACTTGAACTGGCCAGGTGAGGCTAAACACACTTCAGATGCATTATACTGCTGTACATTGATACATAGTTAACAGTGCTCTGATTGACTGTTGCTCTTTTTGTACAGGTCTTTAATGCAAGGCTTGGACTTGCTTGACTCAGGGGCGTTTGATTTGTCAGACTGGGACCAACGTCTTCCGCCTCCAGCTGCCAAAACTGCTGTTCAGACCCTCACTGTGGTCATCATTTCTCCAGAGCAAGCAGGTAAGAGACATTTGCTCCAGTAGAGTTAATTGTGTTTTACATTGAAATTTACGACTAGCCATTTTTCACTGACGTTCAGCAAATGTAGTGGAAGTGAAACTGATAATGGCAGAGGGAGCGTTCAGGCTTACAGGCTTTCTGAGAGAAAGCTGGTGGACCACAAACTTAATGTGTTCAAATAGTTTGTATCTGAGAATAGATTTTCCCCTCAATTGCTCCACTAAACTTCTCATTTGTCAGCAGGAGGACCTGGGTGTACTGGTGTGAGCATGACACAGTCAAAAGCAAGCTTATTTTACAATCCTTTACTGGATTAATAATAGTAGAGGGATTTAATCGAGCTTTTTTTTTATTTCTCACAGACAAAGGGCTCAAGTGTCCTGTTTGTTTGCTGGAGTTCGAGGAACAAGAAACAGTCCGAGAGATGCCTTGCAAACACCTTTTCCACTCAGGATGTATACTGCCCTGGCTGGGCAAGGTGAAGCGTTCAGATCCTACATTAGATATGTTTATGGAAATGTGTTGGTGGTTAAATTCCCAGATTCTTTGACCCTGATTTGATGTTTTGTGTTTTAAATTGTAGACTAACTCCTGTCCACTCTGCCGACTTGAATTACCAACTGACAATCCAGAGTATGAGGAGTTTAAAAAAGACAAGGTGCGTGTAAATATGCATTGGATGGTACAACTGATCCTTAACTTCTAACCATGCTTTCAATGTGGCACCAGTCCTTGGTTGAGCAGTTTTTTTCTGTCCTGTAGGAGAGAAGAAAACAGAGGGAACACAGGCTGGAGGACCTACATGGGGCCATGTACACATGACACCCTGGTGCTGTGGTGCAAGTTTGTGTCACAGTGACATTTTACTGAAAATTACTCAAAAACAAAAAAGGAAGCTTCAGGAAATACATAATGATGTGTTCATGCCATGTCATACCGAATGTAATCATAAGCATGCAGCTCATGTGTCAGCCTCATATTTGTAGTATATCAATATCTCCCAATTGGCGAAAAGAACTACAGAACTGTCAACAAATGGTTGGTGAAACAGCCGCAAAGTCAACATCACTGGCAGCTCCTTCTAAATAAAACCTGGGTATGCAACGCAATAAAAATAGATATTTAGACATATAAATATATATATGTATACATATATGTGTGTGTGTGTCTGTGTGTGTATGTGTGTGTGTATCTGTTGTGACTATAAGGCTAGCAGTGGGGGTAACCATGTTGGAATAATGTGTGACCGCTCCCGTTTGCTGCTCCTTCCTTTCATTTGACATGGCATGAATGCAGCATAAACAACGAGGTCATTGAAAATTGAAAATGCTTATTAGTAAATGCTCTTTTCTCATTAGTTAGGATGAATATATTTTAAGATGAGTATGCTGTTGACAGCAGCACTAAGCACTCTGTCTCTTTGTCCCTTTTTTTTTTACATAAATTTATGAACTTTAAAACCACAAAGAAATGTGTTCAGCTTTATTTCTCTAAAGAATATAAATTATTTAAAGACAGGAATATATATATATATATATATATATATATTGATCAGCGATTCCTTTTTATAAAAAAATCATGTTTAAATCTGAGACTTTTAATTTTACATTGCGTTAGAGTAATATAATATTAGTAGTACGTACTTCTGTAAATTCTGGGTTGAAATGTCAAAATTGAAGCAGCAGAGGTTGAGATATCATGACTTTTAGTATGGGTCAATCTCCAGAATGCTGGATCCTACACTTAGACCATCCCTGCCTGGTAAAAACAAACAGCTTTCTGTCTCAATGCGTGGTCTGCAGCCCCAAGAGCCACACAAGACATGATACCACTGTCTTCACAGGAACAGTAGTCCTCCTCATGCCGAGTAAACTGACCTTCATGTGTAAAATTGTTGTTAAAATTGTTTGTTCCCCTTTGACTTGTCCCATGATGATGTTTTGATGTTTGAAGGCGCATCTCTTCTCTTCTGGTTGACTCACAGAAACTATCAACCAATTTCGTCTGGATCGGTTTTGATGCTTGTACATCACATGGCGACCCCTTAATTTACCTTGCCTGTGATTTCTAACCAGCAGAATATAGGTATACATGTGTGTGTATATTATATCTATATATCTATAGATATATATATATATATGTCATTTTGTGTTTTAAGCAGCAACTTACTGATAATTTTGCTGTTTAGAAAGAATCAAACTGTCCATGTCCAAAGAACAACCAATGCAAACCACCTGCTAATAATTTATCATTTTTATTTCATATTTGAATATAAATCTCTGTCAAATGAAAATACCTAAATGATAGACAAATCATTAAATATTTACAGAATTTATAAAAAGGAAACAAAATAATCTGTGTTGACTTGTTTTCAGGGAATTATCTGACTCCTCTATTACCATTCTTTTACATATTGTTCAAATCGAGGAAATAAAACAAATACATTGTTTAGTTTGTGTGTTGCTGTTGCTAGAGTTCAACACATGTAGAGGTCAGGCAGCCTTTTGTAATACAGGATTCTCCCATGAACAAACATACCATTTGAAAGCTTAGTGAAGTGCACATTTTGACAGAAAAAAAAAGTTTGTAAAATCCACCTTTAAATTTGGGCCTGTGGAAGATGGTGTTACAGAATAAATCCAACCCTGATGTGAGGGCTCATACAAGCTGCCATTTGTAGTCACACCTCGTGACTTGGTTACAGTATGGTGAAAGAGGCTACAGCTGAACACAAGATAAGATCTGAACATGTTCCCCTGGCATTGTACAAGGGATAAGGCTAAAACATTACACACATACCAATTCATACACCTGCTGCTGTCGTACAGAAAACCATTCGAGACTCCAGAGGATTCCAGTCTTTTTTGGCAAGATTGCAGTACCAGAGAGGATGACTGCAGTCCCACGAAGAATGGGAAGTTAAATGATTTGCATGAAAAGTAAAGAGAACTGACCTGACACATGATTAGGCATCTTGTGGCACAGCAGATCCACTGTCCTGTCAAATGCTAACAACACTTATTAAGACAGACCTTTGTGGATTGCTGAGCCACCATCATGTTAAATACTTTTCTCAACCTCAAACCATTGTGAGATGGAGAATATGTTGGAACTCTAGCTTTCACATTTAAATAACATCAAACCCACAAAAGATAAAAGAGGTAGGTGATGTGACCTTTTAAAAATGTGTACTGCTGGCATCCAGTGGTTAGACAGTTTAAAATGCATCAACACTACGCAGAGGGCAGAATACTGTGTGTATTCATGTGTTACGAAACATACTTCTCAAACGGCTCATTTAAAATAAAAACTTAATCTGAGTGTAACCTAAACTTGGTGGCATTTGTCAGCTTCAGTTTGAGCAGTGGTCGTTTTGCGGCAGTCTGGTGTTAAAGCTAATTCAAAACTCTAGTTTTCACTATAAGAGAAATTGGCAACAGGAAATTATACAAAAACCTCAATATATGACTCACTTTCACTTCAGTCTACAACCTGTCTTGTATTGTCAGGTTGTAACACTGTATTGACACCATTGTGACGCCTTGAGGTTTTATGGCACAAGGTCTGCAAGCATCGTATTCACCTCTCAGTTAACAAAACTTCCCCTGCAACTACTGGGAAGGCTTCACCTCATTTCATATTCAACAGAAAACCTATACTAGAAACTCAAATAAGGCTTCCAGGGGTCCAGCCTGGAACCAGATCAGTGTGTGGACAAGAACTATGTTATTCTGTAGATGTGTTAGTCGGATTATAACTGTCCTATAACATCACTTCAAATGTCTTGGTGTTGCTTTTTTTTTCTTTTTCTTTTTTTTTTTTTTTTTTAAAACAAAAAAGAGCCCTGTGTTCAATTCCAACACACTGAAAAAGGCATTATTCACTCTGGTGGAGTGTAAATTATCAGGTGATTGATGGTGATTATTGCACCGGCCATGACAAGTGTATGAAATAAAAAAGGTAGCATGACAAAAGAAATAATTAGATCATGCAGTTTGTGGGACAACAATGGAAGGACCTCAAGAGGGACGACTTCAGAGATTCTCAGTTAAAAGTGATTGAGACACAAAGTCCAAGTCATTAAAACAGAGCAGCCATCCTGCACTCGCATGTCAGTGAAATGGATTATGACCTCAAGAATGATAGTGGCTCAAGATACATGTATACACATTTTGTAAAATAATTTAAAAATACCACCAAAACCTGCATTCAAATCATCTGTGCAACCAAATCAAATTGTCAGGTGAAATGAATGATTTTTGCCAAATCATTTAACAGGTAATTAATGCTTGATTGGTTTAAGAAGGCCATATGCTTACAGCCTGTAAAACATACATAACTGTTAACTATTCACATCTCAAACATTCAGTATTTTCTACTTTCTACACAAACGGAAAATTGCTATTCTCTCATTCAAAAAGTGTGCCGTGCAGAGATAAGCAAGAGGCCACGACAGGTGGGCCACACAAAAGCAATGGGTAGTTCATGAAGGAGTGTCTGGGGGAGGGGCAGAATCTTGTGGGTTTAAGTAATTTACTTTTCCACCATGACACCAGTGACATCCAGTTATTAAAAAAAAAAAAAAAAAAAAAAAGTTGCGTTCAGAAAACAACCTACTCTAGTAGGTTTTAGTGAAGAACTGCCCAGACAAACAGCCATCTTAGAAAACATTCATGGCTCCAGCTCAGACTGGCTCCACACATTCAGCCCTCCTTTCAACATCACCACTGAAAATGTAACGGGACATTTGACTGCAGGGGCTCGCACCAACGTTGAGAAGAAAAAAATAAAAAAATAAAAATAAAGCAGTATAGTATTACAGATGGGATAACCTGGTGTTGGGTCAATGGTTAAAGATACCAGAACTTCCTGCACATGCTGTCTCTGTCATCTTGCCTTCCTGTGGGGGCTCGTGAAGACCTCTGCAGTGACACTTCACACCTTTGGGCTGCGAGGCAGAGCTACAACATGGCTATGCTCTCCGGGGTACAGTTGAGATGTGTGGATGTGCTGCTTCCCCCGGGGGACTTGAGGCCCTTAGTTGCCCCGCCTAGTGTTGAGCCCCGGGCCCTGGGGCCCATGATAACACCTGAGCCGTGGTGGTGACTCCGCTGCAGGCCGGCCATCATGGTCTCGCTGGTGACGGTGCCGAACTCGTAGGTGAAGGTGCCGTAAAAAACCAGGATGTCCACAGTGAAGACCCACTCGCAGATGGCCGCAGCGTGCTGCAGGATGAAGCTCTCATGGATGAAGAAGATGCCACCTGAGGACGACAAGTTAAGGAGGACAAATATCGCTGGTACAGGCATGAGCTGAACAAACAAAGCTTAATACTACTATTATTATTGCTAACATTATTATACTACTTTCCCATTTCCACTGAGTCTACAGGCATAGGAAGGAAAGAATAACAAACGTCAACAAACGCAGCCTGATTCACTCCATGATATAATGAGATGAGTTATATCACAGGTAGCTTAACCTTGGGGTGCCAGATGTGAATTCATAATATGATTAGGGTTAAATTGCAATTGGCTTTGCAGCTCTATTAAACAAACAGGTTTTTCAAAAAATTGAACAGTGAATGCAGTATATTCACCTGGGATATACTTATTATTTATCAGATAATCAACATGAACCAGAATGGTTCTTGCTGCCAAATGGATGAGGCGACAGCAGAGAGAAATTAAGGATGACAATGATAAGTGGTGAAGAGACAACAATCCCACATAAACTGCTTCCTAATTTGAGAACAATGAAGTTATGAAAGAGCCAGCTTAAAGCATCAGAGGTAACAGACTGACAAAGGCAAACCCACAGCTCAACAGCCGTGTTTCTCACTGGACATCAGAGGAGAGGCTGCCATAGAAAGTGAAGCTATCAGCTCAGTGTTTAACAATGAACTGATGGTTTCACAAGAGTACAGGAGGGGGAGATGAAAGTCCACCCAGGCAGATGTAGCAACATGGCCTTGAGGTTCTGTCTCAGAGTTGGAAGGACAAACGTCTTGAACTGTCTCAAGGCTTGTGGAGTGAAAAGGAGAGAGAAAACAAGGTCTCCCCAATGTTTTATTGGCATGCCACCACATGATTGGACTGTGTGCTCTCTGATCTCGGGATGACGAGGTGGAGCCTCTTCGAAATGAATATAGCAATACAAAAAAGACCAGTTACACAACCCCAACCTCAACAAACTCTGCCTTTCATTTTGAACTACACCACATGCTTTTGATTACAAAGAATAACTTGTTTCATCACTAAACAGATGACTAAGAGACAAACTCAGATATTTCCTCAGGAACCGTTTACAAGCAGATGTGTATAAGGAACACCAATAGGTAATACAGTTACATTGATAAACTTCAACATCACATGCTCCAACTGAAATTTGAGATTTTGACAGGAGTTAGACATTTTTCAAGGCTGACCTTTTTACTTAGCATTAAAACAGGAAAAGCAAAGGTGTAACTAATAACTTTAATGGTGGCTCAATGCCATGAAAGTCATTCCAGTGTGAGCACAAACAATATCAGGGCCCTTGAACTGGATGACCTAAATGGCAGATAGTTGTTATTAGTAAACCTGTGCTTTTCTCAATATCACGTCAAAACGCCCGCTGTGAAAAAGGTCAGTTACGTGACGTACTTAAGAGAAGACAAAATAAAACAAACACTTCCATTAAAAGAAGAGTGAAAACTACATCTACCAAAACTGTGTTTAGATATGACAAACAGTACATAACTCCTATATGTGAACAGCAAGGGGGGATGTCCCACTGGTGAGTAAAGGATACTGAGGACGAGGGAGACCATGGCTCCCAGTGCCAGTGCCACCCGGAAATGGGCCATCCAGTAGTCAAGGGCGGTTACAGCTACCCGGTAGGTGAGCACACACTGCAGGCACACAAACAGCAGCCCTGCTGGAAATGCCACACCGGCGCCCACATAGTGTAGAGATTTGGCATGATCCACCTGTCAGACAGAAACGTACAGTCGGAATGACAGTTTGTCTAAGGTCCAAAAAAAGTAGCAAAAAGTCATTCCAATTTTGAATTTAATGTGCTCAAGTCATTGTTGCTTAAGTTTACCTGGAAGTTGCCCACCATGACCAGACCCACGGCGTTGGTGCAGCCGGACACCAGAGCGCTGGTGTTGACCCAACATCGGTGGCTGTGCTCGATCACCTGGGCGTAGCGCAGAAGGCACACCATCACCACTGCAGGACACAATGAACACACGTTTACACTGCATCCACAACATCAAATACACATTCACATTAAAAGTCTTTTCATGTGAATCTGTCGGTGGAAACTTAATCACAGTTTAGTGGAAAATTTGTGGACTTTTTTTGACATGTTAAAATATGATGCTCTTACTTGTTTACAGTTTTATCTATAGGTGGTGGACAATCACCTATGTGACGTGACACAATGTGACTGCACCCATTCTGCTGATGTTGATGATGATTTGGTTTTACTGCTGTCTCAGAGAGGATGTGTTCTATCAACTATTGACATCTCTGGTTGCATGAGGAAGCAGGTTTTGGCAGGTTTATTGTCACTGTTTGAAAACTATAAACCTGTTACAGAACAAAACCACCTAGGCAGTAAAACACAGGTCAACAACAATACAAGCTACCAATAATAAAGGAGGTCAAAGAGCATCCAGACAGTTTATACACCAGTGACGGAAAAGCAGGGAAAACATGAAATGAAATCTAGAAATAAAAATGCAAGGAAACAATAGGAGATCATGTGGACTAGAAACAATTTAAATATGTATGAGAACGAAAGGTGATGTGAATAATGAAGCAATAGTGGAAACAGCAGGGAAGATATGCAATTAAGGGCAAAGGGGGAAAATGGGGCAGAACTGAGTTGTGATCACACAAGATAGGAGGAGGAGGAGTGATGGAGGAGGGCCACAGAGGGTACATGCAGTGGAGGGGACAGAGGGGGGAAGTGGAAGGAAAGCTGCATTCATTATTGATTAGAGAGCACAGGCTATTTCAAGCCCCTCATATCTCTTGGAGGGGAGCGGCTGACGTCTGTGGGCACCATGGAGGATTGATGTTAACACACAGAATGGACAGAAGAGACAGACATTAAACACTTCTCACCTCAACTATACTCAGTAATTGTGTTGTATTAAAGAGCAGAAGGCACCAGTCTAATTTTCACTGAAGGGTAAATTGCAGATCTAATTAAAGATTCAACCAATGTCACTTCATTGCATACTGAATAAATAGTATTTCATGATGAATTCTCACAATACATCACTCAATATTTGCTGAAAACAAGTTAACATTTTATTATTATTCTGCAAAAGTTACAGAATATGTAGATTCTTAAATAATTGAATTTGTTTACATTTTAAATCCCCCTTTACACAACAGTAATTTTATGGTTTTATGGGAGTTACGTGCTGAAACTATTTCTCTTCTCTTCACTTCCTGAAGTATCCACTGGTTGCCTGGCAACCTCATAGAGGCATCAAGATGTAATGGCTATTAGCCAAGACATAGGCCAGCACATAAACCACAATAAAGCCATGTCTTTATTTATTAGGGAGCTTTAGAGGTGCTGGTGGGGAGAACCAGTCTAGCTCCATCACCCTGTTCTGTTTCTAGTCTCTGGCTAAGCTAGGCTAACCATCTCCTGGTTATAGCTTCATATTTACTGTACACCTATGAGAGTGGTATCAGTCTTCTCATCTAACTCTCAACAAGAAAGCAAATAAGTACATTTCCCAAAATATCATTCTATTCCTTTTAAGCATGTACTCTTGCATACACAATGACTTTTAATCACATGATTTAACTTCAGTTAAAGCAAGGCCTTACCCATGAAAGCTCCAACGTTGCCAATCAGGCTGAACAAGCAGCTTTCAGGAGGGTAGGAGCCACATTTACTGTAGGACATGAAGACAGAACAGCTCTCAGTATTAGAGGGAGGAGATATAAACAAATCAGTGTATCACACAGTTACCATGTGTCATTTTTAAAATATCAAACTGTACAGGAACAAATAAAGTGACTACAGTTACAGATATATGTACTAAACTTCTTATTTCAAGAATATAAAAGAATGAGAAACCACTTTGCTCTGATATTATCTAGATGTAAAACTTTCCACTACGTACACAGCTAAAAAGCCTACAAGTCTCATGATGCCTTTTTACAAGAGTGCTTTTGTACTTGCCCGTGGTTAGAGGCTTATTTGCAGATTACACAAATGCAATTTATGCAAAGCGTGGGTTAATGACCGTCATAGAGCAACTACATAACAAGGTGCTAATTCATGCCTCAGGGCTTTCGCTGACACAAAATTGCTTTTGTATTCAGCAGAAACAAAGACTTGATCCACAGAGAGGAGGAGAGGTGGAGCAGGAGACCTGATGAGGGGGATGTCCTGGATGGTGCAGCACGTCTTGGGGAAGCCTGGTCGGGGCAGCTCCTCTGTGCACGTTACGTTGTAAGACCTGTAGCAGTGACACAGTGAGTTCTGTTCATTCCCTACTGATAGCTGTGGAATCGGACTATAAAAAGCTTTAAGCCAGCTTCAGATCAACAGAATAAAATCACTCACCAGTTCTCCACAGGACAAACATGGTGATTCATCACAGCCATGGCATACCTGTAGGGTAAGGAACACACCATAATTCAAAGCAAGAAATGGCAAATGTCACAGTGTTATAATCCCAGATGAAGCAAATAGGATTATTATCAAGAAACAAGATTACTCTGGCTTTAAGATACAGGGTTACTCAGCAGAAAGAATACAAACAAGAAAGAGTACCATCTGTACACCTGATAACAGGAACACATTATGTTTCAATGTTACAGCATACGTGACACGGCTGAGTGTTTCTGTAACTCACACTATCCATATTCCTGTGATGGAGAAGGCAGACAGGCTGACAGGCAGGACGATCCAGGCAGTCATTGGGCTGGCAGTGAGCTGGCTTTGTCCCAAGCATGGGGTGAGAGGGGGGCTTCGGGCTGGAGTGGCGACACAACAGAAGGGATCAGGTGGGGGGCGGGTGGGGGTGTGGGGTCACTTACACACAGGGGAACACACGGGGACAGGGAGGGGGCATGAGAGGACAAAAGGGGGAATGGCACAGCTCTTCTGCTCCACAGGGCCCTGCAACCAGCAGCAACCTGAAACAAGAGAAGGAACATTTTTCAGTATATGAAAAATCAGTCAGCTAAGTTATTGCTCTGTGATTGTGAATGTGCGATCCCCTGGGAGTTACTTTGTGACGCAGTGTGATTTACAGTTTTGTGAGTGTTTCCTCAATCTACATCTCACTCAAAACGCAACATGTATCCCAGCTGTGTTACATTTGAGTCTACTCAGGCTTTATAAGTGCAACAAAGACCAAGTTAGATCTTCTGTTAAAGTTGTTCTTTAAGACACCGCAAAGACTCCAGTTGAAAGCCAGCTGACATGCTGACAGGCACGTATGTTCTGTGCCTGAGTGACAGGAAATAACTTCTATGTTGTACTTCTGAGAACATTGTAGAGAGGTGAACAGCACAAAGTAGTCACACATTTTCACATCACTGTGAATCTGATCAAACAGTCTTCTCATGAGCTTGTAATACAAATTGCTAAGTAACAAAGTAACAAAAACTGCAAACTGTTGAACACATGCCAGTTAAAACAGACTTAAGGCTGCTGATAACAACCAGGGCGAATAGTGGTGGACACGACACAGAAACTGTAGGACACAGTTGATGTGTCACCACTCTGAGAGGACAGACTGGGATCTTGGCCTCTTCTTGAATGAACTTCTCCCTCTATCATTGTTAAACATCAGTGCAAAATGGTGTTTGTAGAGAGAAGCGCTTGCTGTTTACTGTAAATACTGAAACACATTTTGCAATCAAACTTAACTGTTAAGTTAACAAACCATAAAATCTGAAAAATGACCCCAAACAAAATGGCAGAGAAATAAAAGATACATGTTTTTGTACACCTGCTCGACTGCTACCCTTTAACAATGTCCATGTTTTATGATGACTTTTCCCTAAATGACACCCACACTGATTACACAAGAACAGTGAGACAGAAAAACAAGCACCTATTGAGGAGAAATGAACAGCAACATGAAGCTGTAAAAGGTACTGTCAGGGCAGAGTGTACCCTTGTGAGAATGAGGACTCGGCTAAGGTCAGCTCAGTGGTGGAGGAAGCATGGGACAACACAGGCTGTATCATTTTACACAGTGTACAGTTACAAGTGTCCTTTGCCTGGGGGGATATACAGTGAGCTAAGATGAACTTCTCTTACACAAATCCTAATAGGAAGTAGCTCTTGTTCCCAAAGAAAGGTCAAACTCACAAATAAGGCAATGTTAGAAATTATTTTTAACAAAAATTTTATGTCTTGATTGTTTATACTTTATTATTATACTGTATGCCATAGTGTTATGAAAAAGATGTTTTAAAATCAGTAATCAATCACTTAGTGACAGGGTATAAGGTGGGTTATGTGATGCCATAAACATCCTATGCCATTGTTTAAAAAGTATATATCTGTTACTATACAGACAGTGAGAAGTGACTTATTTCTGCAAAACCAGAGGTCAAAAGTGCATCCTGATAAACTTCCCCTTTTTCTCTTACACATAATGTTTCAACTCTAAATTTGAGTACAGATTTTAGAGAGCTGCAGCAATTAGTAGATTAATTAGCTGAGCAAAAATTTATTTTGATAATCTATTAATCGTTTTGATTCTTTGCTTCCAGCTTCTCAAATGGGTATTTTCTGGTTTACTGAGTCTTCTATGATTGCAAACTGAATATCTTTAGGACTCTCCCATAATTTATAGTGAGACCGCCCACAGGCTGACAGTGTACTTTCAACCCAGTTTGGCATTTCTATGTTTGCTCCCATTACTTTCATATGAAATTGATTAAACCCATGTGACTGGTTTCTTTCCATTTCCACCAACTGAACCAATACATGATTGCTTCATAGGAAGTACACATGGATTTTTAAGTGAAGAGTCTGGTGTGGTTAAAAGGTTAAAGTAAATTGCTCACAGACAGAATGCCTATTATTGACACACCCATACACCAGAAGACAATGACTCACCCACCCCAAAGACCACCCCCCATCTGTCACACAAGCTCCTCCATCTGCATGGACATCATTAAACAAGTGAGCAAGTGAGCACACAGACATTTGCTCTCAGCATCACATTTGACAGCAGTTCAATAGCATTTGTTAATCAGTTTTTTTTTTTGTTTTTTTTTGGAGTATCCTGCTAGCCTTTTGTCTTCTTCACTCACTTTTCTCTGAAACAGGTAAATAAGTTTGATAGGGTCTTAATAGGTTGCTCTGGTAACTGTGGGTTTATTTCCAAAATAAGACCTTCAGCCAAGATGAAATATCCACTGACTTTCACATTTATCAAAAAAATCAGTTAGTGGGTATTCAATTTGTTTTGTTTTTGGTTCACCATTGAGGTAAGAGTATACTAGAAACAAATAAACAAATCAAAATTTGTCATTTTTGGCCAGGTTTATTCACTGCTACACCATATACCATCACATGTAACTAGTAAAAGAAGTAAAAAGTCAAAACTTACATTATTGGTATATTTGTTCTTTCCACACCATTTCTTTTGTTTAAAGTGTGTTGTTTTCTCACGTCATTTCCATAAATAAACAGACACTATATCTGCATAAGCATACATTCATATTCCTCTCACACACTCAAAATTCAAGTATAGGCGTTTCCTCATATGGTTTGGAAAACATGACTGTCCTTTCTTTTTCTGAATGTACACAGTCAGCAGTAAAGTTTTATAAAGGCTTTAGGAGTGCTGTCATACACACTGTTTTAAGAAAAGGCAAAAATATTCACTAGACATAGTGCCTATTTTACAATGTTCACACCAGACAGTGAAGCTTACAAATCAGTAAAGGTCCCCTCAGAATTATATTACAATAAAAAAAAATGTGGGCATTGTTACATTGTTTATTGTTTGTTTCTACACTAAGGGTGGAAATGTCAGGGCAAGATGGTGACCTAAGGATATTTTCCTGGCTGTGGGAGTAATCACTCTGAACCGGAGTACATTATACGATTTATACCTTTGAGAAAAACTGAAATTCACCAATTAATATATCAGTTATATTTTTCAAAAGGCGTAGTGCTCTTCTTTATTTTTCTTAAATAAAATAACTTGGCATGTAAATTTGTGGCTGCTAAATAACCCAAAAGGACCTACATATCAAATCGCTTAATGTGTGTTGTCAATTGTCAATTGAAAATTTTCTGATTGTCAGTTATTATTATTATTATTATTATTATATTTTCTAAATGATAAATGCTGTTTCTATTCAAACTGCTGCAAGGGCCAGATGACATGACATACAAGAAGTATTTTTATCTACTGTTGTTTTTAATCAAAAGAATTTAAACTTCAATCTCACATTGACAACCACGCACAAAATGTAAACTTGTCATGGCATTTAATGAGAGCAGCAGATCAAAGGATGAAAAGTTCAAACAGGCTGCATGTGTTAGACAGTAAGGTATACATTACATTACACCTGTTCTTACAGGTCTTTTAATATTGTTAAACCAGGCTCTCAGGAGCAGCTAAAACGCAGGATACTGACTTAATGAAAAGAAAAGCTGTCAGTGTGTTTATGTACCTGTACAGGGAGCCATACCACCCCCACCCCCACAGCCATTCAAAGGAAATATTAGCCACTGCACTTGTAAGACTTAATACAACTGTGACAATGTATATTAATTAACATCCCATTATATTTATTCACTTCTCCACAGTCGACTACTGCTACCAAACAAACGGAGCAGCATCCCTGAGTTCGGCAGCCTGCTCTCGTGAACCTGATAACGGTACCGTTAGCCTTGTTAGCTTCATCCTAGCTAGCTAGTTAGCTTGCACTTTACCACTTGTCTTGACTTGACACTTGCCCGCATCTTGATTTCCGCTAACCAAAGCGATACGCTGCTAAACAAGAGACATTTAGAGGACAAGAACACCGACACTACCAGGACAGTCAGAACACGACAATGATTTTACACCTACCTTCAACCTGCTATGCCCACCACAGACCTCAACAACCTTGGTTTCCCTTTAAAAACAGCGTTTTCTTAGTAGATGAGGCTAGACGCATAAATAACTTCCGCTTATGCGTTTCAAAATAAGACTTCACGAGAGTTTCATGAAAGAATGGCTTTTATGAAATTATAATTTATAAAATCATATTTGTATCTACAAAATCATTAATTTCATGTCACTGCTTCAATAGGAGCGTAGAAGCATAGACGATACTCCTATCCTACCAAAAATACTGAAACACTCATTCACACAGACAAAAGAATACTACAGGTAATAAAAGATATACATTTCCCTTCGGTGCTAGTCATGTAGTAATGTCAGCTTAATTAATTTTTTTTTCTACGGGTTCATTACGTGTTCACTTCAGTTTGTCTTGTTATAATCGTATTGGAGAATTACACGAATGTGGCGCTTTTATTTTAGGCACAAATGAATAGTCTTTTCGTGTAACTAACTTGACGCAGCTCCCACAGTTGTCCGGCCTGGAGAGCGATACCTCTGTGTCTGTGGTTTTTAGTGAGAATGTACAATAAGAAGTTAACATTTGTTCAGTAATGTACCTCCTGAAAATATATGAATATGATAACACTTTGTCCACTTTAATATAATGTCAGAAAAAGAAAAAGAAAAAAAGTCCCACAAAACATGTTGGTTGGATTGAATATGTGGAATTTCAATTCTGGAAAAGGATTTGAAAATAATGTTTTACACCTTTTTTTTTTTTAGAACTTGCATCAAAATCTCTTAAGAATATGTGCAATTTGTTTCCAAAATTTGTAGCAAACAAAAGGCCAAGATTAAGAAACTGCAGTGACACAGTGACATGTCAAATAAGTAAGAGCAGGCAGACTATAAGACATTATAAAAAAATGTCCCCACCTACTTTTTATAAAGGGGAGCAGTACAAATTCTTATTTAACCCTGGAAATATTGTGGTCTTTATCTTCTGCTGTTGTAAGGCCTTGATAACACAAGAAATCAAAATGCTCTCTATATGTTTAATATAAGATCATCAATATAACCTGCCACAAATGATGCATGTGGCCCACAGACAAAAGAGAGAAGCTCTTTCTCACTGTAGATGCCTCTGGTCTGTCTGTCTATAAGGGTCTCAGTCAGCCATGACACTGTGACCTTGAGCAGGACCCTGAAACTGAAGCAGCTAAATGGAATTCAGTCTTAATTAATTTTATTATACCTGTGCATTTTCTGCTGTGACATGTCCCTCCATCTGTGATGTGCAAACACATTCTCAAAAAACATGTGAATGATGTAGTCACAATACATATTTTTGTAAAAAATACAGATACAGAGTAACTCATCAATACATTATTTATTTCAATCGATTTCCAGGAAAGAGACCCATCTGTGAACATCAAAACAAAGCTGTTTGTAGTTGGTTTTCACTGCAGACATTTTGACATGTCAAAGCAGCAAAAGCACAGGTGTAATTAATAACATTAATCAGCTCTGACACACAGGTGTCCAACCAACAGATACCAGCTGGCCAATCAGAGCTCAAGCTGCTGCTCTGTGGCTTAGATTTCATTTAGTTTAACAGAAAACAAATTAATATTGAGATGGAATATGATAGGCAATACAGTGGAATAACAAAAGATAATAATGTAATATATATTAATTGATTAAAATGAAACAGTATACTGTAAATTTCTATTGTTTTTCACCATTACAACCCTAAAATAATGTTTTATAAGTCTGTTTTAATCTCAAAAGCAATAAATTAAAAAATAAAAATAAAAATAATAGACATGAAAAGAAGAAAACAGGACTGAATCTCTTTGTCGGCTTCACTTGTGACAGGTTTGGTTTGCCTCTCACTGACTGTGATACCACCATCTGCTGGATTCATTTTTGCATTACAAGAAATAACTTTCCACTCATTTCATATTAAATGTTGCCATGACACATGTTTACCAGAAATATAGCTATGAGCAGTTTACCCTATTCTCAGATAAGCAAGTCTTGCTGCTTCTCTTGAATGCTGTCAGTAACAAAGTATCACACATTTAAACAGACAATATTTGTAAGGCCAATCTTACTCACAATGACATGTGCTGTCAAACCCAGCAGCTCTTTAATTAATGGGTGCAAACAACTCCTATCACAAGACTCATGTGTCACCAATAATCTTGGCATTCACAAAAGTCAGATTTTCCATGTTTAACCTCATTGTGCCTTTATGGTCAAAAAAGTGTACACAATTTTGTGTCTTTGTGGTGTGTAAACTGTTGTGACATTTGCTGTTGCAATTTTGAAAATGTTGGCATTGTTTTTAGGAAAATAAGTCTATCAAAAAAAAAAAACATAAGGATGCCTAGTGTCTCCTTATTTGGGGCAGACCCTGTAATCACATGAGCAAAGGTCAGGTTAAACACTGCCAGTTATTGTTACAGAGCAATCTGTGTTTAGCTGTAAATAACAGAGAATATATATGACAGGGGGCTTTATAAACCTACAGGAGGGATTATAACCCTCCTTCTTGTCTTACTAAGCAGCTTTGAATGGAATTTACTAAATTTGATCTGTAAATCTTGTGGACAACCATAGACTTTGAGAGCAGATGATATTAATCCCGGTGAAATGCAAGTATGGAGATATACATTGGTGCTTGCTTTACAAAGTACTGCTTCCTTGGCGGTTACTGGATCAATATGGAAAAGCTTTTGACTCAGAATGAAAATGTACTTGTTTCTCCTCCCTCTCCTGCAAATAAGACCTGGAGTAAAACTTATATGAGCTCACTGAAGTACAAACTACATTTGAATTATTAGTTACATTTGACTTATTAGTTACATCTGACGTCTATCAAGTAAAGAGTGTGGGGGAAATGCCAGGGTGAATACCATATAAAATGGCGGCAAGCAGCAATCATAGGATCAAATCTCCCTTCAATATATGTTCTTCAGTCAGTTGCTTGTTTATCTTTAGTAATAAAACCACTGAGTCATAAAGACAGCCAACTGACGCTGTCACACAACCAGTCATACCTGACCAGGTAAGGCTGTAGCAGAAAAATCCTTGAGACTACTGATTTGAGTAAAGGTGCATGTCATTGTTTAGGGATTCAACTTTTATTTTCTAAGAGGAAGATTGTGTTATTTCCTCTTTTAAAAGTTACATAGCTTCATTGTGGAGTACTTCGTATTAGTAGCCATGACGTTTTTCAAATACTGTCTATCATACAGTATATCATATCATACATCAAAAGTGTTAAGAGTTCCATTTTTCATAGTGCCCTCTTCTTCCCAGTATGACCCCGTGGTTATCATGACAAATCCAGCTCACCTTTAGTTCTTTTGACACACTACACTAACAAGCCTAGCCTAAGTCTGGTAGCTCTATTTAAATGTCACTGCTTTAACAACTTAAATCCTTAATTGTTTTAACTAGTCAGCAACTAGTTGGCATCAGAGAGGTAAATAAAGGTTAATAACCTGCAAATAAATAAAAAATAAATAAATGAACTGTCCATCATGTCATCAAACATCAGCTATGCAGAACTTCATCTCTGGTCAGGTGTTAATCAGCAGGACAGTGATCTGGTATCCAATAAGAGGATTCAATTGCAAGCAAAGTTATGTTAGATACTGGACTTCTTCTGAGTAGAAATCTCATCTGGTTTAACCACTGCTATCTGTTAGTTAAGGTAATGTGTTATAGCATGTCACAGCCTTCCAGCAGATTTCTCTCTATAGGTTTAATATAAAAACAAAAGATTATTTCCAAGACACACCTCATGTCCAAAGAATCCTGCACCCCTCCCAATCAGGAAGTAGGCTAATGCTTAAAGCCCTTATCCTCTTTAATGTATCCACCAGCCTTCCTTTGTTCCCCTTCAGCGCAGGAGTCCTAAAGCAGTACATCAATAACAACCCTCATAAACAATTTAGAGTCAATTCTTAAAAGACTTTTACTAGAATAAAAATTTTTAAAAAATTTGAAAGAAATGGTCACATAGTCTTGTAGTTTTCCCACAAGCAACGTTAAAGTAACTAAACACACACAATGGTATTTTCCAATCATAGCCTTCCAATATGACTTCCTTGAGTAATCTGTAGGGATTTCAAAAAGATTAATGCACGACACATTGCCTATGCATTCATAAATTAATGCACAACAACAGTTGTTGTTGTAACTTATATCTTTAAATTACTCAAATCAGATGTTAGCACCATAAATTCATACCATAAAATATTTATAGGATAAAAGTGGGTGAATTCTTGAGGGGCATTTGTGAGATATGCCACGCAGCCAACGTCATGTCAGCCAGGCAGCTCAGCAGGGGATAATGGTATTTAGATGTCCTGTAAGCACGCGGATCCTCTCAGTCAGCAACATTAATGGGGCCATGAGGCATCCTGCTCCTGTCCTCCATGCTTAGGTGAAGGGGGTATTAGACAGAAGTAATGCTGGCTGGTCTGAGCGCTCTGTCTGCTGTGTAGTCTGGGGGGATCGACATGGGGAGCACCAGCAAGGTGGCCAACTTGTGGAACAGGAGACAGAGTCTCTTCCCCAACTACAAAGTCACTGATTCGGATATTAATCGAAGACCCTCTGAGATTGTTTACCCACTAGCCAAGGAAAGCTGCGTGAAGACATGGAACTCCATGCAGGAGCTGAGCAGAGACATCTACGACATTTACGCTGAGTATGAAGATGAAGAAGATGACAGTACTCCCTACAGCTTCTCCAAGCAGCCCTCACCCTCGAAGAGAAATTACATGATCAATATCAATGTAGGGGGGAAGCCCTATCAGATAGCCTACAAGATGGCTGCCAAATACCCCAAAACCAGAATAGGAAGACTGGCCACTTACACTGACCACAACATGAAGCTGGACCTGTGTGACGACTACACTGTGACCAACAACGAATACTTCTTTGACAGGGACCCAGATGTCTTCCACAGCATCTTCAACTTCTACAGGACTGGTGTGCTGTGGATCAAGGATGAATTGTGTCCTCGCAACTTCCTGGAGGAAATCAACTACTGGGGCGTGAGGATCAAGAACACCCACCGCTGTTGCCGCATCTCCTTTGAGGAGAGGCAGGATGAGCTGAATGACCAGCTGAAGATCCAGAGGGAGCTGGAGGCCGAGGTGGAGATCGAGGAGAATGAGGAGCTCTTTCATGACATGTTCATGGGCCACAGGCGCCGAGCTATCTGGAACCTGATGGAGAAGCCGTTTTCGTCTGTTAAGGCCAAGTTGATGGCTGTGGCCTCCAGTCTGTTTGTCCTGATCTCCCTGGTGGCCATGACTCTCAACACGGTGGAGGAGATGCAATACAGAACTCCCACAGGTCAGCTCAGTGGCAAGACATACTGGGAATACGTGGAGTCAATGTGCATCGCCTTCTTCACCATGGAGTACCTGCTCCGTCTGGTGTCCACTCCTGACATCAAATCCTTCAGCAGGAGTGTGCTCAACACCGTGGACCTGATCGCCATCCTGCCTCAGTATCTGCAGGCCATCCTGGAGTTCTTTGACAACGAGGAAAACTACATGAAGCATGAGGCTGACATGCAGGCGGTGGGGCAGGTGGGAAAGCTGGGGCAAGTGTTGAGGATCATGAGACTGATGCGAATTTTTCGTATCTTGAAGCTGGCTCGACACTCCACAGGTCTGCGGGCTTTTGGCTTCACTTTGCGTCAGTGCTACCAGCAAGTGGGCTGCCTCTTCCTCTTCATCGCCATGGGCATCTTCAGCTTCTCTGCCATGGTTTATACCGTGGAGCATGACATGCCGCAAACAAACTTTACCAGCATCCCTCATGCGTGGTGGTGGGCAGCTGTAAGTAAATCTTTGTAAAACATAGTAGTGTAAAAGACCTGGAGAATATAATCTAAAGTGACAACACAGAGGGAAGAGACACAGCAATCCTAAAGACAGAATAAACAGAATGTGAGATATTAAAAAAACGTACAAGTCTTAAAATTAGAAATGTTGTATAGATCACTTACCCAAGTAACAAACCAAAGTAACCTATTTAATTAAGTATAATGAAGTGCCCTGTCCTTCAATTACTTTAATGCTGACATAGTCCCTGAATGGTGTGTTAACTGTGTAATGTTATTAGATTATACTCCAACACCACTTGGCTTACAAAACACAATGAGGTCAGCTCTACTCCAGGGTGAGTCTCCTCATGCTTTGGTGTGTGTGACTTGCGTGGTCAACGGAAAGATTCAAACTACAGATTGTATTGTATTTTTACTGATTCAATCTTGGCAAGAAAGGTGGAATAACCCGGTTAATGTCTGTATGTCTTTATATGAGTTAAACAGCTAACACAAACTTTTGATTCTGCCTGTTGCCATGAACACACCCATTATCAGATCATTGTCCTCCCTCTTTGACCAAAGTGGTACAATCTTAACTCTAATCCTGGGGAAGGAAACGATAATCCTTGTAATCATAGTAATGGTTACGGTAAAGGTTACTTTAAGCACTACTCACTGCCAGTGACTCCTGCTGTATTTGCATGAACAGAGGGAAAAGAATTGTGTGTTGTCTTTGAGTCCCTGGAACACCCACTTCTTGGTCAGGTTTGCTGCAGTCTGTTAGCATCTACATCTTCTCACTGTAAATCAGATACACCCTGAATAAATTCACACAATACAGCCAGACTGTTGGACTATCAGCAAGAAGAAGAAGAAGCAGGAAACCTGAGTGGGCAACTCAACAGCCCTACCACTTTTTCCAAAGACTGTAGCGTGGGCTAAGGACCACACAGTGGTGACTGTCTATATATTATTGCTATAACAGGCTAAAATTGTGATCTATAATTTTAACAAGTATTTTAATGGGCAATTGAATAGTTTTGGTGGAAGTATAATTATGTGAGCATTAAATTAACCATCAGCAACCTATAGTTGGTTTTGCTTAGCTTTTTATTACTTTGACTACAGACAATTTACAGCACAAAGTAGGGCGATACGGAGGCCTAGAGAATTCTTCCCCATCTGGTAGAAGTAAATCCATTATGATATAACACACCATAATTAGCAAGCTGTACTGGGGTTTTATAGTCTGCATACTCTGGTCAAATCACTGTATGCTATTTCCTGTGTTAACAGTGTTTACAGTGAGAGGGGCTCCAGACTTATGATTGGTTGATACTTACATTGTTACAGTGTGTTCTGTTAATTCTGGTTTAACTGTTTATACTCATTTATACTCACCTGTGTCACTGGATTAGGAATAGAATAACTGGGGCTGTCTTTATCATAATGTATTCACCAGGCTTACAGTTTGGATCCAATACTCCTTTGTTTTCTACTACTGCTCACTTTGCTGTCTCACAAAGGGAAACTGTGAAATGCCCCAATTTACTGGCAAAATGATAACATGGGTCAGCGAGGGTCTACTAACCAGGAGACTGACTGAACCTGTGTGCTGGTTAGGTTTGTGATTCCTGTTTCTCCATCAACACTGACTGCTCTCCTCACTCCCCTGCAGGTCAGCATCTCCACCGTGGGCTATGGAGACGTCTACCCAGAGACCATACTGGGTCGTCTTTTCGCTTTCATCTGCATCGCTTTTGGAATTATCCTCAACGGCCTGCCCATATCCATCCTCTTCAACAAGTTCTCAGACTATTACTCTAAACTCAAGTCCAATCAGTACACAGCCTCCCTGAATAAGCGAGGGAGGATCAGATTTGCCAAGAGGACAGCGAAAAAGCTCAACCACTGCTTTGCACCACACCATTGTCACGCACACTGATTTCTTATGTACTTTTAAAAAAAAGAAATATATGATTGACTGTAAAACTGTGCAAAAAATTGTATGTGATGGGGACAAACAGGTGTAACATGAACAAAAGATGAGGGTTCATTCTCCAGTAGTGGCACATCTGGCTGTGTATTCCAATAAATTGGCAGCATCTGTGGTTGGAAAGCCGGTGCGAGATCACACACCTTCTCCAAGCTGGTCAGTACTGAAAACAGTTTTGGGGGGGTGGAGGGTATGTTAAGCAGTATGACTGACTGACCTCTGAAAATGTTTACTTTTCTATTCTATTCAGAAAATACTATTTTTGTTATTTGATAGTCAGAGGCATAAAAAAAGAAATACTCCATACGATTTTCACTTTAGCCTCGTTATCATATCTCTATATTATCATATAGAGCAGTTACACAAAACAAGGTCCCTGTTTAGTGATACTATTTAAAACTCTTAAACCCTGCCAGACCAATTGGTTAAATGCATCATTACAAAATCTAAAAGCTTTACAAATATACTGTATCAAATATGTCAGAAAGAATTTTGGGGAAACATGTATAGAATGATACACACATTTACAACATGTCAATATGATGTGGTGGTGCACCTGCACGAATGTGGCACCTTGGGTTTGAATACTTCTCTCAGTACAAGTATAGTGTGGCTTCAGTGAAGTTTTTTATGTTTTAAAAGCAGTCCTCCTGGTTCAAATTCCCACAATGAAAATGTGTAATGTCAGCATCCTACTATTTGGGTGAAGAGGTCAGACTTTGCTGATTTGATTCGGGCCACAAGAGAATGAATGAAAAAGCTTTTGTTATCACCATAGCAGCTCTCAAGGCTTAGAACTTTTTGCTAATCTACAATGCAACTCCATACCCCACTGATTTTGGACGTTGTGCTTTTCAGAGACAGCTTAACTAGGTATGAATATAGATCTCAGCAGCTAATATTAGTTATCTTCTAATTGCAACTGTGATGTTTTAAAAATGTGTGCATGCACAGGAGGTCTGCAGGGGCTTGCAAAGTGTACTAAACCTTGAAACACCGGTGCTGCTTTTCATGCATTTGCAATGTTCAGTAGTTTTGCCTACAAAGTATGCAAAGTATGGCTTACTTGCAAAGTATCACACAATGCTGTCTGATACTCTGTTGTCAATAAACACTGTCCTGCTCATGAAACTATTCTCCTCATTGACTAAAATACTACAACTTCCTGAGAACTGTCAGACACAGACCTGTTCCCCTGCATATGTCTCTACTGCCCTCTCCTGGATGACCTTTGCTATAGCAAAAAGCCTTTCGTGGGTGTTTAATAAGATGCTCCAATTTTAGTTCACTAATAACTATTGATGCCATAATGGAGAAAGAACACATACTATTGAGATATTCAGCATTTTGTAGCTGCTGGCAATTTTAACACAGCCTGTGGTAGACAAAAGGCTGTCTATAACAATGAAAGCTAATTATAATCTATAGAAATTGCAACACTTCAAAATGACCACTGATTGGACAATGCATGAAAAAGAGAAACTCAGCAATCCTCACACACAGATTGGTCTATGCAATATTTTTCCAACTCCATTTATGTCAAAAAAAGGGAGCATAAAATATTAGCAACAGTTGTCAAGTCACAGTTCAATGACACAACAAACATGACTACAACTCATTTAACACATCTGCGACATAGTGTCAACATAAACTGAATATGACTGTCTGTAAAAAGGAAAGATTTATATGTGTTACATTGTTTTACATTCTATTAAGCAAGAGGCTTACTTACTTCATGAACCAGAACTTTGTATTTGTCAGGTTTGTAGATATGCAGAAATATCATGACAGATTGCCGAAGGTCTCTTGTCCCACGTGGAAGTAGTATTTCAGTAATGGAATTATGGACCCCGTTTTCAGAGAATGGAGAGCAATGAATAAAGAGACAAGGCTGCAGTGTTTTATGATGTGCAGAAAGCATATGACATGGTATGGAGGGAGGTTATTGTCTAGTAGTTTGAATGGGAAACCTGTGCAACTAAAATTAGGATCATGAATATTGTATAGGTGTGTTTCCATTCTATTCTATTTAAATTAGTAACATTTAATTGATACTATACATTTATAAAATATCATTGGATATGGAGTGATCTTTGTTTATAGATGATTAATATTTATGGCAAGGAAGGGGATATTGTTATTCAATATCTTTATATATTTAATATCAACCGTATTTTGTACAGTTACAATGACAAATACACTAAATAAACTTAAACGTTATGGCGAACGCAACTGATCTAGTTTCCGATGCCAGAAACCATTTACTCCAGAAGATGGCAGCGCATACACATTGAGAATATCAGCTGCACTAATACTTCAACGAAGAAGACGTGTCTTCGCTTGCAGTCCTCTGCGTTGATAAAGTGACCTCTGCTGCTAGCAGTTAGCCTCCTCTGAAACAATGGCTCCTCCAGTTGCAGTGTCGCCTTTGATTAAGGTTTGTGTTGCCAGATATACTGTGATAAAAAGTTGCTCGTGTCTCATTGTAAAATGACCTTTGCAGTTGTATTCCAGTTTGCTATCTACGCAGAGCACGCTAACCTGCTAACCATTAGCTAAGCAGCATACTAGCCATTAGCTAACTGTAACTTAGCAACGTTACTGAAGTCTGCAGTTAAACAAAGGCCAGTGAATGGTTACAGGTGTGCTGCATTAGGTCTTAATAACGCAGTTGATTAATATTATTGTTTAGCGCAACGTGCATTGACGGACATCACTCCTGGCGTTGCTAAAAGCTAATAGAAGAAGCTGTCATTGAAACGACGTAGTGGTAGCTGATGCTTATAAATAGGAAAGTCATAAGAAATTATTGATATTTATACAACACGAGGCATTTAACATATAATATGGCATCCTTTATCTCGATTTAAAAGATTTACCAATTATTATTTAATTCATGGTGTCCTTGTTACTGCCCACTACTGCAAACAGTGACGGGTTATGTTTGAATGAAACTAATGCTTCACGGTGGATTGTATGTTTGCTGAACTTAAGAGTGGGTTCTAACACTCTGGAAACCAGTTTAATTTGCGTGTTTTGTGCACATGAACATGGTCTCAATATATTCCTGCAGCGCTATAACGCTATGGAGTTAAGTGGATGTAGCAATGATGTGGGAAAAGATAAGATTACATTTTATTTGTAAAGCACTTTCCATACACAGGATGCAGCTCACAGTGCTTTGACAAGTATAAAAGGAGATAGGGAGTTAAGGAAGGGAAATCATAAAAAAGATTAAAATAAACTAATATTGATAAAATAAATAATAATAAAACCTTAAGAGCTAATTAAAAGCTTGATTTAACAGGTATGTTTTCAGTTGTCCATTTAAAAATGTCCACTGAGCCCACCCCTCTAATATTTCTTAGTAGGGTGTTCCACAGTTTAGGTGCATCATGAATGAAGGCTGCTTCCCCAGTTTTAGTCTGGGGAACTTTGGGATATTTAGAGGACCTGCTGTAGAGGATCTAAGAGCTCGTGGAGGGACTTAAAACGACAGTGTTTCAGTGACATAAGACGGTGCCAAACCATTAAGTGCTTTGTATACAAGTAGGACTGGTGAATTCAATTCTAAAAGACCTAGGGAGCCAATGTAGTGTAGACAGCACATGAGTAATATTGTTTTCGTTAGAAGTCTAACAGCATCTGAATTAGCTGTAGTTTCTCGATTTACTTTTTTGGAAGATTAGTAAAAAGAGCATTACAGTAGGCTAATTGATGTTGTCTTGTTGAGTTAAAAGAGGGGCACACTTTAGCAATATTTCTTAGGTGGTAGAAAGCGCTGCTATGTAAGGGTGTCAAGAACTGCTATGCACTTCCAGATACCATGGACCTGTGTTGAATCTTAATCAGCTAATTTGAGATTTTGTGACTTTGACTAATGTGTATCCCCCTTTCCATTTCAGACAGCCAGGTATTCAGCTTTGATTGCTGGCATCATCTACGGCAAAAGGAGATATGGTGCGTTACTCTTAATAGTCATCATGTAGTGTCTTTAACAGCAACAGTGCGCTGAGATCAACCCACTTTAATCCACTAAATGTAACAATGATTTGGACCAAATTTTGCACACCAATCATTATGTTTAAAACACTAGAGACAGTTGATCTGTCAGTGTTGTAACAGTTGTTTTTATAAACTGATAGAGGAGAATAATCCGTGCTAAATTACTGCAGCATTTTACATAAGGAGGTGTGAACACTGTTTAAAGATTTAAGCTCATTATAAGTTATATTCAAGCATGTTTCCTGTTGAAGCTCAACAAGATCTTCACTTTAGATGATGTAAGCAGATGTAATTTTGAAATACAATGCATGTAGTTGATTATGGGTGCGATTTAGTCCTTCACTAATGTTTTTTTTTTTTTTTTTGTCAGATCACCTGAAGCCTATCGCAGCTGAAGAGAGGAGGATTGAAGAGGAGGAGAAAAAGGCCCGCGAGGAGCAGGAGCGCATTGCCAAGCAGCTAGCAGAAGGTAGTCTCTTCAGCCTTATGCACATGTCAGCTATTCAGGCTCCAGTTTGCACACACATACATTTGTATGCTGCACAGCTCATACAGGCGAACACAATAATAGCAACACCAGTTTGCACAACAAAATATTACACTTTGCCTAATGATTGTGAATCATGCGAAATCCTAAACTGACTAACCTTAAATATTTGACTTTCCTCCCTACAGCGAGCGAAGATACCATTCTGAAGTAAAGCTTGGAGGGCGATGTGAGGATGTCCCCGTAGATGTGCAATTTCCGCCCTCTTCCTCCTTTTTCTGGAGTAACAATGACAAAGTCAGGTCACAACCAGTCAAGCACTCCCATGTTGTGGATGTGTCCACTGTTACCTTGAATAACACAACACTTCTCCGGATTGCCAGATACAGCAATTTTACTTAAGTTACATGTTATAAATAAGGCTCTTGAACTCAGCGTTGTAACACTGCAAATGCAGCCTCATAAGTTATTATGTTCATGTTTGTAATGAAGCCATGTCATAAATACAGAAGTACATGATCACTGTAGTCCTTGTCTTTGTTTTCTCAAATGTGACCTTTGTATAACTGGTGTTCTCCCAGAAACTGTTACAGCACATATGAGACAGATGTAATGTTATAGTGATAACTTGTTTTGCAATTAAAACTCACTAATCATCATATAAAAGACGAAAGGATGTTTTTCATTTGTCCTACCTGGAAATGGGAAGAATGAGAAGTGTTCACCAACACCTTTGTGGATCTCACTAGAAATATGACAGGTCTAACTTATTGCATTGGCATAATTTTAAAAAGCAGATGCATAGATATCATAGGAACAATCTCCTTCAGATGTAAAATGGTAATTTATTAATATTTTAATGGGAAAAGCATTGTATACCTTTCCCCTAAATTCCTCCCCTTGTGTTACAAATGAAGTTTTGTGAGCCTCTGACAAATAATAAATGCTTAAATTGCATGTGGAATTATTGTGAAAAACATTAGCTACAGCCATAAAACCACTATTATTTCACAGTGTTTCATTTCTTTTGGACATTAATTTTCAACTTTAGCATGATGAAGACTCAGACTGAGTTAAGAAATCCAACAATTATTTTCATTATCGGTAAGGTGAAGTCAGTTCATTGTCACAAATGATTAAAGCAGTGAATTTTCACAACTGAAAGCTGGATGTAGGAATTGTTTGGTATTATTAGCTTGAAAAATGTCTGTTGATGGGCATTAGGGAATCAGATAACCATTTCAGCTACAAGTGGGTTTCAAAAATGTTGATATAAATGATTTCCACTGCTGATTTTATATATACATATATCTGTGGAAAATGTTTGTGTTTTTTTATTGAAGAAAAAAAACAGCATTCATGTTCCTGGAGACCGACCAAACATTTAAACCCTATTGCTACGTTGCTAAGAAGAAAAGAAATAGGAGTCTTTCAAATGTTTAGTGTTTTCACCTGCTCACATCCTCTTGTTATGGAACTTGCCTCGTTCATAGCCTGTCATCCTGTGACCTGAGATGGCTCGAGCACAGACATGTTCAGCCTGAGCTCACCTCCAGTTAAGCAAGTGTGTGTGTTTACAACAGGATCGTTTAAACCTAGTTTTTGTTTTCAGATTAGAGTTAACACTGTTTTGACTGCCCTCAACAGCTCAGGATGCCAAAGCCCAGAGGCTTTACCTAATATCTTCAGGACAAGTTAATATTAGAACAACAACAATAACAGGGCTGATTAAAAATACAGCTGGACTTACTGGCATGCTTCTCGTCTTTACTTAGCTCTCACCTACTGTAGTGCAAAACAAAAATATCTCCTGAGGACTGGTGATGGGAACTTGTTAGGGGTGAAAAGGATTACAGTGATCTGCTTACAACATTTTTTTTTAAAAGTACACAACAACACAGCTACAATGAATGAATACAAATAAAATTGTTGCACTGCTCATAGTTGAGATAATTTAAATGAGTAAGAAAAAAATTCTTCTACTTGAAGAAAACCATTAAAGTAAAAACAGGCTTAACAAAAACAAAAAGGGTTGCTTTAAAGCATTTCTACAAAATGTGGTTTAACAAATGACAGAAAAACATGACAGTGGAAACACTGAGTTCAAAAATGCACCTGCAGCAGCAAAATGGAAAGTTACACACCCCAGCTTTTTGGCAATAGGGCACTGTCACACTTTGGTGTCTGCGTGCATGTTGCTGATGCTGAGGTGGTGTATACTTCCTGTAACACACCTCAGCTGTTTCCGATATGACATGTTTTGCTCGGGATTACAGGTTGAAGCTCTGGCAGCATTTACAGACAAGATGACAGAACGTTACTTAACCGATGGAGTGACAGCAGATGGGAACACCTGAGCCTCTGCTCACATAACATGACAGGAATTCATTACTCAGTGCTTCTCTCCAGGCCATTTTATAATGGAAAATGTTACAGTTTTATTTATTTGTGGTGCTTGTCACGGTGAAAATGCCTCTTTCTTCAGTTTCACATCCTATGCCCTGTAAAGCATTTTTTATCTGAATGTGGAACTGATTGAGGACTTAAAACTCTGTGGATCTTTTAATGTTTTACATCCAAATAAAAAGTTTTGTCTGCAGTAATCAATAAGAAAACTCTTTATACTTACAGTCACCGTCCAATTAAACAGAGATATTAATAATCTATCAATAATAAAAGTGAGGCAGTTTATTTTTGTCCCTAGATCTCACGGCCAGTTGTGAACATAGTAAAGCATAATAACAGAACAGGTAAAACTTTTATGGCCAGTCATTAACTTTACAGTAAGTATATAGTATCCCAGTCCAGAGATGTTGGGACATTTTATCTGAAGATGGACAAAAAAATAGAAGGAAGATGGCTGGTTTCATGGACAACAAGTAAAGAAAAACAAACCACAGAATCATAATAAAGTCCTCGTATCTCACAGTCTTTCATTCAGCCTATATTCACACTACTTTCTCTATTAACACTTGGTCCTATTTGAAGTTTTCGTGTGACCTTACTGCCCAAAATACACGTGTTTGCTCAGGTAAAAACCTTCGCTGTAGACGTGTGACTTGAGGCTCAGGCCTCTCCCCGCCTGTCCCCCCCCCCCGGGGCATCTGCCATTATGTATCCCATTATGTAGCCCTGCAAATAATTACATAAAGCCTATACACTGCTGAATGCAAGGGTTCATCAGCTTACACCGGGGGATTTTGTTAACTGGATTAGCGGTAGATTTAAACTCTGCATTTAGGTTCAAGAAGTGAAAATAATCATTGAGTCTGTCTAAGCGCTGGGTATAAAAGGCTGATGCACCTTCTTCTCAACACATCTCAGACACTGCAACAGCTCTGCACTGAAAACCTCCTGCAGCTTCACTCTGCACTTCAGGTAAGGAGATGCAGCTTTGTGGGGACCAGCTGATACTTTTACAATAGAGCTGCTAGAGCGACATTTTGGTTAAGATGTGTGCAGCCTCTTCAAACAACTATTAATAAAAGAAAATAATAAAATAAAATCACACTATCAACCAAACTGACATTTGCTGGATTTGGGTTTTCATCTAGAATGGACTTCCAAATCTTTGCCCTGGTGATGTTGTTCCTGGCCTGCGTGGAGCAGGGTCTGGCCTCCTGCGTGGTGGACAGTTTCACAGTCAAAGAGGACTTCGAACCCCAAAGAGTGAGTACAGAAATATCTCTAAAAAGAAAAATCCACAAACAGGATAGAGGAAAGGCAGCTAGGTAGTTCCCACAGATACAATCAAATAGGAAAAATATATTCAACCAGGATAGAATGATCAACACCCTCCATTTAAACCAGGATCTCATCAGTGTATAATGAAATATAATGTTGTATATGTACGTATCTGTAGCCTACTGATGTCTGCCTGTTAAAATAATCTGTATATTCATCTTTTTGATGTTTTTTTTTTCACGACAGTATGCAGGAAAATGGTACGCTCTGCAGAAGAAAGATCCAGAGGGTTTGTTCCTGCAGGACAACATCTCTGCTGAGTACACTGTTGGAGACGATGGTTCCATGGTGGCCTCCTCCAGGGGCAGGGTCACTCTCTTTGGGTGAGTAACTGGCATTTTTAGAAATCTCTTTAGTCTTAATGTGATATATTTAAATATATAAATGTTTCCATTCCTGCTTGATAATGTGACATTTCTCTCTCTACTTGGCCTCCAGGTTCTGGGTTGTGTGCGCTGACATGGCTGCTCAGTACTCAGTGCCTGACCCCGGCACCCCCGGCAAGATGTTCATGAACTACCAGGGACTGGCCAGCTACCTGTCCAGTGGAGGTGAGCCTCCTCAGTTATACACACACACACACACGACACAACACACGCCAACATCACAGCACACACCACACAACCACCCACGACCAATCTCCACACGAGCACACACATCATGCACTTGACACACACACCCAGCACATACCGACCACAACCACACACACACACACACACACACACAAGGTCTCTCTCACACACAATTGAGACTAACTTGTTGCTCTCTGCTCTTCCAGGTGACAACTACTGGGTCATTGACACAGACTATGACAACTACGCCATCACCTACGCCTGCCGCACCCTGAAGGAGGATGGAAGCTGTGAGGACGGCTACGCCCTGATCTTCTCCCGTAACCCCCGCGGCCTCCCCCCTGCCATCCAGAGAGTCGTCCGCCAGAAACAGGAGGAAATCTGCATGGCCGGACAGTTCCAGCCCGTGCTGCAGTCCGGTATGTACTCAACCTATGATGCTCTGATGCTCTGAAGTAAACAAGATGTACAAGTGTCCATGGTACTCTTGTATTCATAGTATTATTGTTGACTTACCTTTAAATTTAGAAAAAGAAGCATGTCTTAACTAAATAGTTAATCCATCACTGTTCATATTCTAGTCTTTACATTCAGGATAAATATTTCAGGCTCTCTTACTTGTAAACCCATTTAACACTTGTTCTTCTTTCTCTGTTCTTAACAGGAGCTTGCTAAACTGGTTCTCAGCAGGAGTTTGTTGAGCAGCCCTTCATTACGCTGGATTGATCATCCTGTCCGAGATGAAGAGAGAATAATCTTGTTCTGTTTATGATTTGCTGTATTCCACCGACATAGGAAAGAATTATCAGATAAATCAAATTCAACGCCCCATGAAAACAAAAATTAATGAACACTGCCAAAATGAAAATATACTGATTACCGGTTGAGTGACTGTGATGACAGAACCAACCGTGTAGTATTGTCACACTGATGGGTAACATCTGCACTGTGTAATCACTCTGTGTTGGTGACAATAAATTTTGTAAAGAAAGTTGCTGTTGTCCTTCTCTTTGTAAAAACGACTGTGTAAGAACCTTAGATTGTTGTTCCAACTTTTACTTAGCTCATGCACAAACACATATACAACACATCATATAAAAATCTTAAGTTGACAAAATGGAATATAACAAATTCAAACTCACATTTTAACACTGTTTAACAAGTTTTCATTCTGGATGTATGACACAGGTGACACATTCAGGGGTAAATATATCAATGGACAAATCAGGTGTTGTATTCTGTGTTTTCTTATTATCATTAAATCACATGAGAAGACCAAAATCAACAATTAATTGATCCAAGTAACAGGTATTGTCTGTGTATCCAAAACCTGATATATTTTATTATTCCGTGCCATAGAGATCTACTGTTGTCCAAAATGATTAAAAACTAAAGCACCAAATATGTATTAATCCGCCGCTGAAAATAGTCCTCAACCAATCTGCCGGTTACTTCTGTTTGAGAAATGTTAAAAAAATTACTGTGCCCAGCAGGAAATTATTAAGGCCTTTTTTTTTAATGAAGCTATATACAGTATTTGGGATCTGTTTTACATCTTAAGTAGAAACCAGTGGGAGCCACAGACAGGGTACAAAAATTGCAAATTACTAAGAGACCGACTAACACATTTGGGATTTGTTTATAATTTAACTGTATAGAATAATACCAGCCTTACCGCTTTTGTTTTATGAAGAAACAAAAGATTATAATTACTTGTTACTGTGTGCTTTGATGCTGTGAATGGTGAGTTTAAAAGGTTTCCACTAAGACAGAATGTGCTTAGTCACTTTATCCATCTCCACAGGCCACTTCATCTACAACATCATGTATTCAGTCACTTTTATCTAATATTCGAGTCACAAACATTCCTATACTCAAAAACATGTGAGGCCTGTATTACTGTATAATAGAGCAGGAGCATCAATAGTAAATGTTTGCTCATAATGCGATTGGGCAGATGAAACAAATGACCTACGCTGTATAACGTATATAAATCAGCACTTTAATCTCTATAAAATGTATTTACACTGTACAAAACCATGTAGAAACATAAGATGAATACTGTCAGACCTGAGCCTGGTCTAGTGCTCTTCTGAATACTTCTCTGGCAGCGAATACTGCCCAGGCCTTCCCCAGTAGTCCACAGCTCGAACTCTGTACAGACCGCCAACCTCTTGGTCCACTACAGAACACAACACGGTGTACGGTGTTATTTTCTATGACTGCATGTCACAATGCCAAAATATAGCTTGAAATATGAAGATTTTTCTTCACTGCCATCACTTGTTATTCAGTTTACTGGGAATCCTTACCAGGTGAGTAGACGTATGAGGTAAAAACGGTGTCCTGTGTATTAATCCTGCTGAATTTCTCGTGGTCCGTGGAGAATTCAACTTCAAACGTCTTGATGCATCTGCAAATACAAAGAGAGGAAAATAAATGAATGAATGCTTACGGTCATACCTACTGCATGTACATAGTCACTGCATTTCAACATCATGATACAAGGATTCAATCCACTGTACTGCTGCACTTAGTTTTATTTTATCTGCTTTCACTCCTTTACGATTTTCTTGTGGTGGCAAACACATGAATAGAGAAATAATCACTTGTGTGCACCTACTTGGAATCTACACAGTGATCAGACCAGACGATCAGGACTTGGCCTTTGGTGATCCTGATGAAGCGTAATCCATTAACCTAATGAAAAGTCAAATATAGTTCAGACTAGTTCATGATTATGTCTTTAGGAATATACATTACACATTACATTAGATTCAGGACATAACTGTATTCACACTAAATTACTTTCTCGCTTCGCAAACTTCGGTGACTGGAGAAAATCTATCTTACCTGCACTGACACAGAAACACATCCTCAACTGCACAGAGGGACAAACACTGACACACCAAGTAGGATTTAACTGATGCGCAAAGCACAATGCACAAAACCAGTCAGAGTTTTGTTGTTGTTGTCTTTGTGTGTTGGCACTGACTTGGTCTGGTGCGACTTTGGGCAGGGCACAAACATGGATGAGGAGAACGGAGGGAACAGACAGTTTGGCTCTCAGAGTCAGAGTGTCCCCTGCAGGAACCTCCCAGGGTCCATCAACATGAGGGTCCTGAAATATTGACGCATCATCAGTGGGTCAAAGAGAGAGAGAGAGCAAACCAATCATGTCCCGGGTCACAACAAATTCATCCATGGATACACGGTGTCTCAAAACAGTGTGAAACTACAGCACATAAGGCACTGTAGCTGCAATCTACCAAACAGCATCCAAAACCTACAGATATATCATTATTATATTGTTGTTTAATGGAAGCAAACAGCATATTGTTTCAGTATTTACACTATTTAAGTGTACAATGTACATGTACAATATAGTCTATGTGCACTCTTTCAGCCATTTTACAGCTTGATAAGAACGTTGTCCTTTTCTTTACTGAAGAACAACACGATGGCTCATCTGACCGACATCATTTAGACTGATTTAAATTAGTTTCTGGTTTTGGACAAAGACTGAACCTGCGTGGGAAATGCCCAATCACAATAATTCTCAGAGTGGACTGATTCAATTGAAATGAAAAATAAAACAAGCTAACAATCAGTTAATGAAGATTTTAATAATATGAGTATAAAATTGTGCTTTGAAAATATTTTTGTGCTAATGTTCATTTCTATAATATGATTCAGGCTTCCTGTTTACCTGAAGACCCCTGAGGCGTCTGAACTGGTCTGCTGTGGGGAAGTCGGGGCTGCCCATACTCTGCCACAGCTGGTACGGGTTGGTGACATTGTTGTCCAAGTAATATGTGACATACACAAGACCTGGATACAGATAACAGACAGAGCATGCAGGACTGAAATGGACCACTCACCTGCAGAAATAACAGCCTGTAGGATTTCAGATACTGGACAAATATTTTGATCTTAAATAACGTAACAGTATTTGGTTAAACCGACCTTTCTGTGCAGCCAGTCCTCTCAGTGACACGGTCACATCATCAGTGTTGGTGGAGGTGCTGTTGTCATCACTGTTGTAGACCAGAGCTGCTGCCTGCCAGCTGTCCGAGCCGCCCGGCATCACAGGCTTGTGGCTGCTGGCGAGAACTCCCACTGTGCTGTTGCTGGTTCCTGCCAAGTTCAGAACCTGAGCCAGGACCTGGGTCTCTCCTTAAGGTTAAATCACATACAGAGAGAGGCAACGGAGCCATTAACACAGCACTGAAGCAGCAACATCCTGGTGACCTGACCTTTAGTTGTACTGCGGCTAGTTTAGAAAATCCACATATATAAATGAATTAAACCTATCACACCTCAATCATACATTTCCACTGACGCCCACATGAAACCCTGGAGGGTCACCTGCTCTACAGTAAAGAGACGGTCACCTAGCAAAGCCAGCAAGCCCATGACGGTGAGGACAGGCTTCCTGATGAGCTGGACGTGAGGCGGCTGGGTGTTGTTGACCTGGAAGCGAGCAGTCAGCGTGCGCTGGGTGAAGGGGTGTGGGTGGTAGCTGAGGAAGGCGTTGTCGTTGCTCAGCAGGGTGTAGTTGATGGTGCTGTTGGGGTCTGCCAGCAGCAGATCCTGGTGCTGGTTTATGACCTGTTGAAGGGGGGTGGACAGAGGATTGTTAAGAGGTGATTTAATATTTCGATTTCAGGGAATCTATACATACAAATCCCAAGTGATGCTACGCTAACACGCTAATGTCACAGTCACAGCACTCTAAAGCATGTGTACAGTACACAGTGTATGTATGCAGTATAATGCAGTACACTGTATAAGAGTTAACTGGTTAGACTACCTTTTGCCACTAGACCAGGCCGATATTGGCAGCTCAACAGAACAGCCTCTTTTCACCTTCTCGCAAAACACAAATACATATCACGGATACATACAATCACATCACATATAAACCATGAAAAAGACACACACATGCACACACACACACACATCATAGACACATACCATACACATCATATTCTTTTCATTTCTATATCTCCTTAAGTGTTTATTGTTATTGTTGTCATTTACATGTCTGTCCATTATGTCTACCCTTCTTGTCACACTTATTTTTGTTATGCAAGTCACTAAAATAAATAAATAAATCTGTTACATTGTCCATTCATCCATTATCTATTCTGCTTAACCTTATAGAGTTGCAGTTACACCTAGGCCAGTCCATCACAGGGCTGACAAACAGAGACAAACAACCACTTGCACACACATTCACACCTATGGGCACTTTAGACTTGCCAATTTACCTAATGTGCATGTTTTTGGACTGTGGGAGGAAGCTGGAGTACCTGGAGAGAACCCATGCAGCTAGAGGGAGAACATGCAAACTCCACACAGAAAGGCCCCAGGCCCGGGATTTGAACCCAGAACTTTCTCACTGTGTGGCAACAGTGCTAACCGCTGCTTCACCGTGCCGCCTGTGTCACTGTCCTATAGTCTAATTTTGTTTTCTACCCTGTGAAGTATAAAACGTCTGTCATTTTTTGCTTATCAAAGTTGACGTTAAACGTAATAGCCAAAAGCAGCCATTAGAAATTTTGAAAAAACCTCAGTCACTTATTCAGAAAACATAATATTAATGACTTGATATATTAATAATGAATGTAAATATGTCATAATGTAAATAATCCTCATTATTTGTCCTCATACTTAAATACCCATGTTGATCTTCACCATCCAATGTTCAAATATGATTCACTCTAGGTGTTTTTTCATGTCGCTCTTCTCCATCCCTTCACCTCACCTTCACCACCATGGCAGCGTAGGTCACATCAGCCCTCCACCCCTGAGGCCTGGACCAGCCCACAAGAGGATCGGCCTCATCATTGTAAACAGGGAGGCTGCGGAAGCGGGGGAAACGCTCCAGGATCTCCCCCATTGTCTGAATCTCCTGCTGGAGGATGGGCAATGAACAGCCTCCTCCCTGGAGGACAGAGGCAGAAAATCAGCTTCTAAAATTTTGTATCAATTAAAGAAACTAATGAATGCTTAGTTTTACAGTAAAGGTGATTGTGCTAATAGGATTTAAGGAGTTGAGGTACATTAGTAACTTTGCTATCTTTGTGTTTGTGCTTGGAAATAAATATTTCAACCAGACTGTGTCACATAACAATGAAAAGTCTTCACAACAATAAATACAAGACATATATTCCGTTATTCTGTGCTTTTAAAGATCAATAAAAATTATTTGAACCTTAATCTTGAAATTTTTGATACAAAAAATTACTAAAAATCACTCTTGATTTCCTTTTTGTTCTCGGTGTGCTCTGAGTGCAGAAAGGCCCACCTTCTTGTGCAGGGCGATGAAGTCGATTCTGACCCCCGTCTCTCCAGTGAAGTAGTTGGTGCCGTTGTAGCAGTGCTGTAGCATGGCCCAGCAATATGGTGAGTGTGGGGGGGAATGACAGGAGTCCCCTGGACCCCCAAACCTCAGGAGACTGCTGGCAGAGCGCAGACCCTCTGAACAGGCGTCATAGTAGTTTAAAAAGCCTAAAGAGAAGAACCAGAGAACTGTTGCCTTACCTGGTTTATCAAGTTCACAAACAGCAATTTCTGGAAATACTCAATCATGTTTTGCTTAAACTCCCCACTATACCCAAACTATTACCACTCTAATGTATGCATGATGATCCGTCTATTCCAGTAAAAAATGTGTGTAGACATATATACCTACATATATACAGATATACAGTATACTGTATGTCATATTACAGATAGACAATTGTGATGTATTGAATTCCAATTTTTCCCTAATATAAAGTCTAATCATGGATGTACAGACTTTCAAACATTTTTAGAATAACTAGAAACAATATAAGCATTTAACTAATATTATATACGTATATGGGAGAAATGAGAACAAATTTGCTTTCCTTGTACCAATTTCCACTTTAAAAAGAACTGATATAAAAGTGTTGTGTAGGATGTTAAGGCTTTACCTTGCACTGACACGGTCACATTATCAAAGTCATGGTTGTTGGGCTCGTTCCATGTTTCGAAGTTCCACTGAGAAACACTTCCCAGGCCGTACTTGTCTGTGATTCACAATCAACAGTGAACATTATACATTTAATCAAAAAACGTATTTTATTTTACTGTAAAATACAAATGACAAATGGTAAAATCTCTGTATTCAAGTAATCAGGTTCAAACAGCAGTCACAAAACATTTTTTTTAACAATGTTTCAGCCAGTTTTGGCCAATACCTGCTTCTCAATTACAATTCATGTATTTTTTCAGATTCAGGTGTTACGCACCATGATTACATGGTATGCAGAGTAAACATATACAATACAACATTAAGAAACAGCACTCGGCACTCACTCACCGATGTACCTCTTGGCTATGAGATAAACCAGATTCCTCCACTCGACCACTTGTGATTTGTCCTCAAAGTCAGTGAAGTAGTTGGAGACACTGCCCATCAGTTCAAAACCTGAAGACCACAAGTGCAAGAAAAAAATGAACTCTACTTTGGATCCTTGATGAGAGCATTTGGGAAAATAAAGTTATTTGGGAAGTGGATGTGTTAAATATGCATCACAAATATGATATGATGTTTTCCAGCCTGGTACAATACCTGGTCGGAGTCCATTAATCCACAAAAGCTCTATCAGCTGGTCCAGTTTAGTGAAGTTGTACTGAGGTTGTCCTCCAATATCTCTACGACAACAAAATCAGACAGCTGCAAATTATCACAAAATACTCATTCATCTTCAAACTAGACAAATCTTAAATTATACTAAATGGCCCGCTTTCTTTCACGAGTAGTTCATGTTCATTGCTAGTTCACTTACTGTGCAGTGACCAGCTCCAACATCCAGTGTATCCTGACCTGCTGGATCCCTCCATGGGGGACTGAGCCCACATAGGCCAGGTTCAGCTGCTGGTCGATGCTCAGGTCAAACTGGTGGGCCTGGGTGTGAGGCAGAGGGGGGCTGGACACAAAGAACAGCTTCCTGTTTCACTTCGTAATGCACCAGTGACACAAATATATATTTAAAATATGCTAAATATAGATCATAGATTTAATACACACATGTAGAAGATTTCAGACTGAGTCATGCCATTTGAGATAACATTTGTTGTATCTTTAGAAAAGCTATGGCAATCTCCAATGAAGAAACGGACATTTTAAAAGATGTCTTGGCTTTGTTGTGGATGCCGACGTGATGTAACATTATTTAATACATTTTATTCTGGTAGATTCGGTATAAAAATAAACCCACACTGATTTCTCCAGTACAATAAAATCCCAACTTTCTGACACGGTTCACACTCACTGCTCTGTGTATTCCGCTGGAGGAACTGTGAACAGAAACACTTATATATCTGACCTACCAGAAACCGGTGCTTCTCCAGAAGTGTTTCAGATCTCCTACTGGTCTCTCCACATCTACTGTGATGGCATACGAAGCTCCTGAAGCAGTGGCAACGTTAAGAAGTAAAACTAAGACAGACACAGTTTTCCACTGCATGTCTGCGACCGAGCATGACAACTTTGTACGTCGCTGAAATGGAGTTAAAACGATGTGAAACCAGCACCGAGAGCTCAGCTTCACCCCAACATGTCTGACACATTGTATGGACAAAATGAAAAAGAGACCTTTAACATTAAGTCACCCTCTCAAGACTAACAACACAACTTTCACTCCAGCAGCAAGCTGCAGTCCTAGTCAGCTGAACATGATGACGTTTATTACATGCGACCCAGCTGTAGTCTTCCGTGGTAAAGTCTGTTTTCTACGGAAGTGAAAGACAGGATTGTTATTTCATTTTTTAAGAATTTATTTGAAGAGAAAACTTAAAAAGAAAATTATTTTTTTAATAAGTAAAAAAAATCCCGACTTTCTGAATTAACGAGAATAATTATCTCGGTAAAGAAAAGGACTTTTTTTTTTTTAATTTATCTTTTGAAGAGTTAAAAAAAAAAAGGTTTTCTGAATAAATGATATAATTATCTCGTTAATTAAAAAAAAAAAAAAAACAGCAGATTTTTTTCCTTAAGTGCATACATTACCTTTCGTAGTTCGCAGATTATAAGGGATAGATAGAGAGCTAGGTAGGTATATGCATAGATAGATAGATACATACATACATAGACCCGTAGTCACTCACTCCAGGGAGAAAGTCAGTTTTTTTCACAACTGGACTGGATTTGCTGTCTTGATTCCTTACAGCTGAGTGTTGGTTTAGACATATTGTACCTTTGTCTGAGTAACTACCAAAATCAGATCATACCTGTTTTGTCCTTTGCATCTTGACATGTCACAGCAACTGTACTGCTTTATATTTTTATATGTGATATCAAAGCTTATATACAGCGAAAACATAAACTAAAGCTTTCTACAGAAATGATCGGACTATAAGAATTTCAACACAAGAAGCTGTTAATGGGACATTTATTTAAAAAAAAGTTGGGAGAATCAAGAAGGCATGAAAGGAAAAAAAATTCAGATGTCATTTACAGTTTAACTCAAAGATACTGTTAAACAGCAACAGTTATACACAACCATTTACACAACCTGTACAAATATTTTTTTCCCGCATATTTGCAATTTAAATTCAAAATAACTTAAATAGGTTTCTATGTAAAAGTGCAAATCCATATGCGTGGGATGTCTGTGAGTAAGACCATGGTGACAGAAGGGTGCCTTGATGACTTGTAAGGCATCACAAGTACATTTCAACATATACCAGCTCTACTGTTTGAAGCACAGTCATATATAATGCTTTTAATGTACAACATCCACGTCTTGTGTAATTATGATGCCTTACATTGCATTAAGCTACTGATCACACATCCTCTCTCATACAAATCAATATTGTAATGACAATAAAATAGTCTCTTGTGATTTGACAGAGAGCCCTTTCTCAATCTAATGTGTCCAGCCCTGAATAAAACCACTAAAAAACATTTCAGTTCAGTCAGTGTCTGTAGTGTTATTAGGGTCAAAGTTTGGAAAGTCAGCATTTCAGCATAGCAACAATGCACTGTTACCTGTTTGGTAGTGTTATTATAGGTTAGCATTAAAATCACAGTTACCAGAGGCCATTCTGTACAGGATGAACCCAGATACAGTGGGGAAGTAGTAGTCCACAGATTTCAGGCTTTTGACAGTGAGACAGTGTGTGTTTGTGTGTGTAGAGGTGAAGGGTCGGTGATTCTCCACAGTCACAAGGCATGAGGCGACAAAGAGTGAAAACTGTTAATGCTGATACTTTATAGTCTCTAAGAGCATCCTCCTGATTGGTGAGGAGGAGGGAGAACTAACCCACACACGCTATTGGGCCTTACATGCTTCTGTATTAACATGCAGCCGATGCAAAAAAAAAGGAAAAGGAAAAAAAAAGTGTGTCATCACCACGAGTAGGAGAGTATTATACAGCATATCCACTCACAAAGCACTGGTCACCATGGGTTCTACTGGACAGGAGACTGGAAATGTGCTTGGTAAAGAAAAGGTGTTCAGGCATTTGCAATACAAAGGAGAAAATAACAAGCATCAAGTCCTTGTGTGTGTATGTGTGTGTGTGTGTGTGACGTAACATAACTACGACTTCTGCTCGGCTCCTGCAGCAGACTGGGCTGCGCTCTCTGGTTTAAGGATCTGATAGGTGATGAGGTACTCTGGGTAGGCCTGAAGGAGGAATACAGCAAGACATTGGTCAACATGAGACAGAAGGTGTTTGATGTATTTTTGTTAATACTACAGACTTTTGTTTTTAAAAATTAATTTTAGATTATGGTGACATCTTGTACAGACATGCTTCAGCTGCAACCCTAAAACCCCATGATGCTGTCTACAACTCTGCTCTTAGGTTCATCACTGGTGATGCCAATAACACTCGTCATTGCATCCTGTATGAAAAGGTTGTATGGTCCTCTCTCTCCAAAGACGTGATTTGCATATGTATTTGTTTATTTACAAAGCCCTTCTTGAAAAACCGCCGTCATATCTTACATCCATGTTAGTTTGGTCCACTGGGCCACATTACAGCAGGACTACCGACTGGCTTACGCTCTGTGTCCTTTGAGTTCATGCTGACTTAGGAAGATCTGCTTTTGGCTTTTTTGCACTGTCCACCTGGAACTTACTACAAAGCACTTTACAAATGAATTCGTTGTTACCTTTTGGTCATTTTAGATTCTTAATCTCTGACCTTTTAACTTCTGTTTGTACCCATTTTAATTGATTCTTGTCATTACATTATTTTATTAATTGTATTTATATGTTTGTTTTAATTTGATGTCCTTTTTAAGTGGTATTTTTATCTACTTAACGTCTTTGTAAATAAGGGCTTTACCCTCAATGATCTTCGAGTTTAAATAAAGACATATATTAATGGAAAGATGCTTTGTTTACCTGCTCTCCTCTGTAGATCACGTATTCAGCGTAGGCTAGGCCGTTAACACTGGGCCGCCCGATTACTGAATGATGTCCTGGGGGAGCGTGGGCCATCTTCATGGCACTGAACTGTAGGAAGGATTTCCCCAGGGTCACTCGGCAGAACAGCATTTGCCTGCGAGTTCAGACCAGAGGAGAACAGTTAGACAGTATTGCATGAATAACCTTTAATTTGATAAAGAACAAGAAGGAACGAAGTAGTTTTACAACCAACACATCTATCAATGTTGTGGTTTAGTTTGAAATTGCACTTTAGCCTGTGATGCTCAAGGTTCAAGGTTAAGTCAAAGTTACCTGTGGCACAGGTAGCAGGAGCGGTCTTTGTGCGTCGGGCAGCCTGTGCCTCCACCGATGCCGTAGACGTACTGATTGCTCTTTGAAGAGTTCTCTGCAAAGTAGATCCCTGCTCCAAACATCCCTCCTATGTAGGCATGGCGCTCATCAAAGCCTTTGTGGATGATGGCGTTGATGAACGGGGAACCTGAAGCAAGACGTGACGACAGGGGCAGAATGATATTATATACAATAACTGACATGCAGTACTTTACACAATTACAAATAGATGCCTGATGAATAAAAATCCAAGGTTAGTAGCAGTTTTTGAACTCAAATGAGACACAACCGACGCCTGATGCTGGCACACAAGTCCAACAGATGGTGAGACAGTGTGTGTGTTTACCATGAAACAACATCCGCTCATTGTGGTGGTTGTGGTTCTCATCTGCGATTTCCTTCTGCCGGTGTGTGTAACGTTCCCTCAGTTTTTTATTGACCACCTTCTGAATCTGTGGGGCACAATATGACATGTATCAGACAAGACGGCGGGCGTTCTGTTGAGGATTAAATGCTGACGCAGACACATCTGGTCAGATTGCTGTAATGTTTTCATTAATACTTTCTACCAAAGAAGTAGTCCCTATAAAAGCTGCTCAGAGGTCTGTGGATTATCAAAGCAGACAGAAAAGGTAGAGAGACTCCTGGTTCACACCTTGATGATGTTGTATCTGCTGAACACACCACCAGCGTTGCCCCCGTCTCTGTGCTCTCGGATGGTGCTCTGCATCTGAGTGACACACACCAAAAACACCATGATGTTATCATTAGACTCTCTCACCATCAGCCAATGGTCTGCAAACAAACTGACAAAAAAAAGATTGCAAAAACCCCAGCAGTTAAATACAGTAAACTCGACTCACCTCCTCCTCCACAGACTGGTACTCCTTGTCGTCGGGGGCGAGGTCTATCAGGATGGTGCCCTGGTTGGCACAGTGGAATGTCAAGTATGGGTTGGCACCTGAAAAGCAAACAGTCAAAATTGAACGCTGCTACGTGTAAGGTTTGAAAATGTCTGACTTTGGCGACCCAATGGTCGTAGAGAAAAAAAAAAAAAAAAAAAAAAAAAATCCCCAGGATGCCTCCTCACCTTGCTGGCCGCCCAGCAGCCTCTCAACACCCTTGATAAGCTTGTGTCGGTGGCCATAGGCGTTAATTCCAATCTCCTTCAGCTCCTCGTGACCCATGTCTGCCAACACATCCAGGGTGATCTGGAAAAAGGAAATGATAGAGCAGGTTTAGACTTTTATACCAGCCAGTAAACGCAACTCAACCTTATGCTGTTGGACTGTTTCTATAAAACCACAGTTTTAAAGTGTCATTATGTTATACTGTCTTATAGAAAGATACTTTATTTATCCCCTAGGGGAAATTCATGAGATGAGACGGACTGACAGACTTCATATACTAATGTGAAAGTAGCGGTTGAGCTTTAAGCATATGAAGTATTTTTGAGGTAGCTGACCTGTTCCCTCTCAAAGATGTCCCTTAAGTGCTCCAGGCCCAGGCTCTTCAGGAACTGACTTATGTTCATGTCCAGCATTGTCACTATGAAAAACAGGGTGTTAAAGTTGAATGAAAAATAGTTGACAATGTCAAAACAGGGTTTGCACACTTCTTCAATGTCTGTATTTTTCTGGAATTCACCAGTATCTGATATCATAAATGCCACAAACTCACTTTCCCCTTCCTTGCGGTCCGTGCCCGTGGCTCCATCTGCCACCCCGGAGGTGCCGGCGGCAGCAGCCGAAGCCAGCTCAGTGAGCGGCCCGGCCAGGTTGTCTATGCTGCTGGCGGCCGACAGACAGGATGGTGTGGAGGCCGGGGAGATGACGGAGGCGCTGACCACTGTGGCCTGGGGCTTAAAGCAGCTGGGCAGGGCATCCGGTGGCATGGCGTCCATCAGCAAGGCCCGGATATCGTCAGCCTGCAGGAATGACAAAGAAAAACTTGTTAAAAGGAGCCCGATTTATTTTCGAGTAGATTTTGATCAGTTGAGTGATCAGTTTTGAGTATAAAACAAATAGCAGTCCGACTGTCATGTAACTAGAGAACGAATAAGTGAAAACATAGATTTTTCTATTTGATATGTTTTAATATAAATCCTTAGACCACCACATAAGCCTGAAAAACTAATTTCACAGTAACCCTTAAGCTGTTACCGTTGCCAGGTCCAGAGCAGTTTGGCCCTCTTGGTTCTTCATGGTGGGGTCAGCTCCATGAGCCAGCAGCAGTGCGCAGAGCTGTGTACGACCCTTCTGGGCTGCCTCATGCAGGGGTGTGAAAGCCCATTTGTCCGTAGCATTCACACACGTGTTGTACTTGATCAGCAGGGCTGCAATGTCCACATGCTGTGAGGGAGAGAGGCAACAGAGGATGAGTCAGTGTTGGTCTGAGCCACAAAACAAATGAAATTTAAGTTGAATAACACAACACAGATCCAGTTAACATTTACTGATGGTATTTAGAGAAGCTGGAGGCCAGAGCACCAACACAATAAATATATTTCAGTTTAAAAATGTTGCAAATTCACAACTGTGAGTTTGCTGTAGTTTAAAGCTTTTTCAACGCGTCAAACCCCCACATGATCTGTGTTTAATAAGAAATGTGTTTATGTTGTTGAGACTGACCCCATAAGAAGCAGCATTATGAAGAGGGATAAGGCCTCCTTTGTCCTGGGCGTTGACATCAGCCCCATGCTCCAGCAGATACTCTGCCACCTCAAGATTGTTGTAGCCAGCTGAGGAGAAGGAGCAGGAGTCAGAGCATGGAAATGTGCTTTCTTTTAACACTTTGCATAACTGGTGCATTTTAATGGCTCTTTTCCAAAAACATATTAAAGTAGCTAGAATATAACTACCTGCAAGGTGTAGAGGTGTGGAGTTGCGCCCCTGTGTGTCTCTGCAGTTGATGTTCTCTGGGGAGCAGAGCTTCTGGACTCGGGCGAGGCAGCCTTTCTTAGCAGCGTCCAACAAGGCAGCATCACCTCTCAGCAGGTCCTGGATGTCTGTGTCGCCATCTTTCACCATGTCCAGCGGCATGTTGCCATCACGGTTCTTCTTGGAGGGGTCGGCTCCGTGCTGAACAGGTCAGACAGATCATCATCATCATCATAACAATCACTAACAGAGGACACAAATGAATCTAAGACGATACTTGTGACAGATGACAATAACGGATCCTCACTTTGAGCAGCAGCTTGCAGATCTCGTATTTGCCTTTAGCTGCAGCCTCGTGAAGCGGGGTGAACTTCCACAGGTCGGCGACGTTGACTGAAGCTCCGTGTCTGACCAGCAGCTCAGCCACTTCATAGTGACCGTAGGAGCAGGCGTTGTGGAGGGGGACCAGGCCGCTAGGAGGAGGAAAAACAGAAGTGAAAATCTTCACACCAGAAAGAAAAGGTGTTTTGCACCTACTTTTAACTTTGTATTTATATCTGCTGCAAAATAAACTCAACATTTAACATACTGTAATGATGCAGGAATGAATCATCACTGTACTGACATACATAGCTTATAGAAAAAAAGAACTCACCCCTTGTCTTTGGCATGGACATCAGCTCCATGGTGCAACAGGTATTCAACTACAGCCACTCGGTTGTAACCAGCTGCAAAGTGCAGAGGAGTGGAGTGGCGGCCCTCCAAGTCCCGGCAATTTACATTTTGAGGGGTGCAAAGTTGCTGCCATACACAGAGACAACGTGACAATTAGCAACTCAACACAGTATTATTATTACAATAATGCAAAAGTAGTTTTGCTGCCAACATTGGCAAGTGAAAATCATCTCCAAACAAATAAAAAAAACAAAACAAGGCACCACGTCTAGAAATTAAACTGTAGCCACAACCACAGAAGAAACCGTGGACTTACTTGCACTGTGTCCAGATCTCCTGCTTTGGCCGCCTCCAGAAATCTGTAGTCCACGTCAGAATTACGTGTGGGAACATTTTCTGGAGAAAAAAAGAGAAAAATCATCTAAAAATCCTCTGATCAGTGTTAATCTGGTACATCCCTCTGAAGACACGTGTACGGCCACATCCACACTAATATGTTTTAATTCAAAACTCACCACTTTAGCTACCCCCCAGCAAAAGGGGTAGCTAAAGGGGGGATGTAACCTAAAAGCATTGAGCACTGAAATGGAGTCAAAAAAAAAAAAAAAAAAAAAAAATCAAACCTAAAAGCTAACCATAGTAAACAGCTAGAAGAGCAGCAGGTCTGCTTACCATTAAGAATCTGCTGTACAGCCTCATTGCCCATCTGGGCAGCAGTGAAACCCTGCAGAGATACGATGGCGGGGTCGGCCCCGTAGCTCAGCAGCAGCTTGCAGGTCTGGATGTGACCAGCCAGCGCAGCTCTGTGAAGAGCTGTCTGACCGAGTGTGTCCACAGCATTCACCTGGAGTCAGAGGAGGTGGAGTTAAGGTTCAGCAACACATTTCTGCATTCTGCAAATTCAACACACATTTCTGAAAATCATTTCCAAGCTGGCTGCACAGAATGAATATTTTGAAACGGTAAATTAAACAACAGACCTTTGCTCCATGTTTCTGCAGCACCTCCAGTATATCGTTGTGAGCTCTCTCGGCAGCAACATGCAAGGGAGTCATAAAGCTGGAGGACACAACAGACAGGAAGGTTTCACTACTTTCTGTTTTGTTATTTCTTTTCTTGTTATCAGTTAATGTGCTGGAACATACACTTAACTTCCTTTTCAAAATGCAAAACCTAAATGTTGTGGACTTACTCTTTGTTCTTCTCATTGATGTTGGCACCTTTACGCAGCAACAACTCCGTCACCTGTTTCCTCTTAGGGTGGGGGGAAGCGACGGCACAGTGCTGAAATACACATCAACATTACATTTGTATGCTGGAATCTAAGACCGGCAACCTTGGAAAAATGTTTTATGTAAATACCAAACCACTAAACACAACAGTCAATTCCATACAACTAACTGTCTGTACATCAGCATTAATCACACACAGCATTGCTAGCGAGACCAATTTTAATTCACTTCAAAATTTGAAATCAGGGAATTTTTTTGTTTGTTGGCATAAACATAATTTGTAACCAATAAAGAAGCTGGGAATAGGAGCTCCATTAGCACTGTTTTCATTCACAAGCAACACTCAAATGTACACGAGTACTCAGGTTGGTTCTGACCAGGGCTGTCTCGTTGGTCTGAGGATGTTTGAAGCTGATGATCTCCAGAGCCAACGTCTTCTTCACTTTGGCCATGTCTGCCTCTCGGGCTGCCTGCAGCAGTGAGTGACCTTTGAACTCATCTACATGGACGAAAAACAAGGAAAATGAACGGAAAATTGAGTGTTTCACATTCTGATTTTTTGAGTGCAGTTTGAGTGATGTCAGGCTACTTATTTGAATGTATTGATGCATTCTGCAAAGACTGATTTGGGTTTTTGAAGTCAACAGCTATTGCTTATGGACTAAACTTATAAGTATATCGCGTCTGTGAGAGTGTTCTCCATAAAATGTGATCCAATCATTGTTGTGTTTGTGTGTGTGTTTGCTGTGCGACTGAGAGAGAACTCACAGGTGAGCCTTTCTTTAAGCTCTGGGGTGGGGGCCATGTCCACGGCGCTCTTGCTGTGACAGTTTAGCAGGGTGGGATCGGCCCCGTGGCTCAGCAGCAGGGAACAGACCTCCACTCGGTTCTTGGACGCTGCCTCGTGGAGAGGAGTGAACTGCCACAAGTCCATGGCGTTCACACAGGCTCCATGCTGCAGAGAGAAGAGCACATCAGAGCACAGGATATGATGTACAGAACAATGAAATGACATTTGTTTACTTCCCAGAATTCGGACTGATCAAAATGTGTATAAAAATATATGTATTTGGAGATTTAAATCCCTGGTTAAAATTGTGGACAATATGTTATTATACCACACAATGGTATTTACGTATTTATGTACTTAAAATTAGAATTTAATTTGTTTGTTTTTTTGCAAACAATCAAAATATGTTTATGTTCATTGTTTCTCGCTAAAACACACTGGAGATATACCTAAGGCCTAATACATGTATGTAATGTAACCTGCCAGTAAATGAACTTGACAGCATTTCCAAATGGTGTGCGTGTGCTGGCTGCATCATCACAGAGTGAAACCTTCCACACAGTTTGGAAAAGAAAGGGATTGTTTCAAAGTCCCAATTTTCTTTCACACAAAGAAAAAAAAACAAAACAAAAAACTCCTCTGGAATGGGGTATTTTTTATCATTATGTCATGGTTAAATCTTTAAATGTAATGTTTTTTGATGTAGTCAAAGAGAACTTGCACTTTATCAAAGACCAAAACCTCTTTGAATTCACATTTCCCTAGGGAAAATAAACATGGAGCTGTGATGGCAGTAAACACCAATGTACATATACTGTGTTCAACTATGTCCATAACCAGGGTCAAGTTTGACTTTGCTGGATTAAAACTACCCTGACATGGGAAGTACATGAATTAAGGATTGAGACTTTAGCGGGTCTTACTTTAAGCAGAAGCTCAGTGACCTCAAAGTGACCATAGGAGCAAGCATTGTGAAGAGGAACCAGACCACTGCGGGGAGAAGACAGTCAGGTTAAGACAGGTTAATGTCAACAAAGATGGCTGAATGACAAATTTAGTTCTTCACACGTCCATGATGTCTCACCCTTTGTCCTTGGCGTGAACGTCGGCTCCGTGCTGGAGGAGGAGCTGAACGATGCGGACCCGATTGTAGCCTGCAGCCAGGTGGAGGGGTGTCGACTGGAAGAGAGGACAGCTTGTTAGCGCATGCGGGCCGCCGGCTGCTTTACTGTGTGCTGCCTTAGATGGCCACAGGAGCAAGCGGCTGATTAGGGCCAGAAGCATTGTGCTATGGCAGGCTACGCTCAGTGAGTTGCAGATGAATGGAGGATATGATGCAAGGTCAATGGAGTTTGTGGGCAAATCCAGCGGCAAAAATTCATTTGCTTTCCATATTGTGTCTGACCTGAGTGTGTGACAACAAGCAACTTTAACATCATTACTCATCTACCTCAACTTCCATTTGGTAAGATCAGCAAAATAAAATATTCTTCTGGGGCTTGGAGGTTAAAAAGAGGTTTTATGCAGTAAGCTGGCAAGAAAGCATCCACTGGTGCAACTGTTAGAATATTAAATTCAGAATGGCTGGGAAGGAATTATGGTTGGGATTCAATAGCCCGTTCAATTTTTATCCAGTTTCACTTAGTAAAAGTTGTTAAGCTCCAAGTCCTTTTTATTTTTTATGGAGAGTAGAAGAGATGTATGCAATTATCTGGCTAAAAAAACTGGCAAACCATCAGTTCTTTGAATGCCAATCATTAAGTTTTGGCTCTTAAATATATTTATGTATTATGTTACTTGAAATCCTCAAAAGCTTAACATCCAGTAAATAGATTTAATTAGAATTTAGGTTTCACGAGTGGGTTCAATACTGGATTCAGGTTTGATAAAATGCTATCGAAACCCAACCGTAACAGGATGCAATGAAGCCACAATAAGCAGGTTAGGTGTTTGAGAAAGCATCTATGCAAGCTAATCAAATGGCTTTACTTATTTCAGCCAAAAAGAAATAAATGTTAGTCTAAGCAAAGCTGCAAATCCAAAATTCAGTGGCATTTGTTCTCTACTCAACAGTCTAGCTCAGGTCAAGCTTACAATAAAAAAAGGAGGGACATCATTCAATTCAATTTCCATGCAGTGCTATTAATGTAAAGCCCAGAAAGCCAGCCGTTAGATCTCAAGCCACAGTGGTAAAAATCAGATGGACGAAAGATTCGAATCATGTGGGCATCATTCAGTGTGGGATGACACGAGCAATCAAAAGTCATTACCATGGAGGGTAGCATAGCACTACAACGACAGGTGAAATGTAGTCCATTCATGTTGCATACCAACTGATCCAACAGGGAACGTCAAGTAGACACAAATTTCACAGACATGTATTCAGGATTCGCTTGACAAAATGCAGAGGGGCAGGCCTTCAGGCATGCATGAGTGATCATCATCACAACAATAAATGAATGAGTGAATTAAAAGCCACATCAGAGACTGACTCGAGAGCAAGTGACTGAAAGTTGGAGAAGTGTGGGTGAGTGTGCAGAGGAGAGGACAGACGCTGAAGAAAGCAGGCAGTGGACATTTTGAGCTCCTCTCCAAATCCAAAAAGATGAGTTGTCACCAAGACACCAACCCAACTCACTCACTAGATCACATGCCACGCACGCTCTCACACACGCACGCGCGCGCGCACACACACACACACACAAAGAGGAGCATCAGGGTAGGATACATGAGTGACCCGTACACCCAGGTCCATGATGTGCAATTAACAAGTGACAGCCAGCTTATTGGTCAAATAAAAACAATGGATTAAAGGAATAAAACAAACAAAAAAAAAAAAAAGAGATCACAACAGTGCATCAATCAAGTGGCCGTTATCAAGGTCAACTTACCAGCATTTTTTGGGATGTTGACTGATCGACAAATGTTGCCAGAGTCACACGGAAAACAAAACGAAACAAAAATTACAAAATGACAGTATCTTTTCACAGCAATTCTTTTCTCCCTTCCTAAGTCAGTGAAACACAAGCTCTAGTTATAAACCCCTGTGTGATCCATCAAACATGGCTTGAAATGAAATGTGACACCAGGCCAGAGAGGTAAATAGCTGGAGGGTAAGTGTGACCTCTCCTCCTCCGTTTTCTCTATGGCTTTGTGAAAAGGCAAGGACTGGTTAATGGTACCCGGCCAAATCTACACTGGCACACTGGCTTAGAGCATGCAAACTCTAAACATACTGCAAAGGAGGCAGGGAGGGAGTAATACTTTATCTGCTGTTGAAGAAAATGTGGTTAGGAATGAGTGAAATGAGCTAACGCTGATATAGTGTTAGTTTCAATGGATTTTTATGCCACAGTGAAGTTGAAAGAAAGCAATTTTGCCAGATAAGACAGGAAATACTTCAATTATTTCTAAGAAAAGTAATGCAAAAACAAACAAAAAAAAAGACAGGGAAATGAAATGCAAAAACAATCTTAAATTAGCAATGCTAAATGCTGATGTTAGAAAATAACTGCAAAGTACGTTCTATAAAAAGTGCATATTTGTATAATTATACTTCTAGTCCATCTGCCAATAAAGAGGGAAAAAAATTCATGCCACAAATACCATATGAGCAAGTTCCAATAACATGGACTTTGGAGTTCAGAGGAAACACTAGAACGATACAGACAAATAAACTACAAAAACAGGCTGCTGCAGAATATTTAGATAGAAGTCTTGTTTTCTGATCTGAGCGGATGCCTGTGAACCTAAATAGATTTCAAGATCACAAATAGCTTTGCTCCAGCATCTGATATGGAAAAGTGATTATGGGAAAGTAGAGAAAGATAGTCCCATCTAAAACATGTTGAAAAATTATTAACAAAAGCACATAACTGTTACTGAATGAGATGTCTGTTTACTTTAGCTCCAGAAAATGAAAACGAAAAAAATTGTTTATTGTGAAAAAAGACCTGTCAACAGAAAAAACGGAGCTTAAAAATTAAAAGCTGAACCTCCACACAATTAATGAAATTGGTAAAGTAAAAGCCGAGATGTTATGACAGGGGCAAATGGACTTCAAGGATGGTCTAATGAGAGTCACACATGCATAATTAGAGAAAGAAAAACATCTATAGTGATCCCCATTAACAGCCTCCCACGAATCCAATGATATAAATCCTCTTTATAGCTGCAGCACACAAACTAATCCAGCCATCATCAGACTACTCACACGTTGTCTGACTCAGGAACGTTCTTGCTATTTTTAAAATACATTAGAATGATTTTGAAACTCTGCACAACATGTTGTATCAACACTGTTGTGAAAGTTATGTCTGGTGTGATGTGGTGTGGTGCTAGTGGCTCATTTACCTTGCGGCCATCACTGGCATGACAGTTGACATTTAATGGAGTCAGCAGTGCCATCAGCTTTTCTTCATTTCCACTCCTGTAATTACATGGAAAAGACTTTCATTAAGTGTTCCTCATCAAAATCTCTATCTCCTGGGATTTTAATGGAGAAACTGAATGCCATAATCTCAATGTCATTTCACAGGATTTCACAGATGATAAGAACTCGATAATAGATTAAACTACGTACTGCTTTTGTTACTCACATGTTTTTAACGGTCACATGTATGTATAAAAATATACTACCCACTATTATAGGCACACTGTGGTTAGTCTACTTCTCACTGTACCTTAACCACTTCATGTTATAGCCACAAACACAGCTAAAAATGTCCCCTCTAAGAGTTAAGTCAAAATTAAACCTGATAAGAAGAAAACAATACAGCTGCTTGACTCTGGCCAACAGGAAATTATAGTAATGACCAGTCAGGATAATACTCACCTTGCTGCTTCCAAAAGTTCATCCTTCTTGTATTCACCTGAATGAAAATAAACATGAAGATTAGAGCTAAATGTAAGCATGTGATGTAACTTTATGTGGTATGTAAGCCTTTACTGCTCATATTTGTTTGGTAAAGGGATGCACCCTGTGGTTCATGGCAATCATTCCATGCAAGGAGACTACCAAAACTAAGTTTGCTAGCCTTTACACTTTGTTCAGGTGGAAAGTTTGGGGTGTTGATAAAGAGAAGGTGCATTAAAGGCTGTTGACAAAGCACTGTGCTGCAGTTACATGCCTCTGTTCCACAGAGAAAAACTAGGACTCAAAAGGAGCAAGGGGTCAGACAACCTGGTGGTCATGCTTAGCCTACAGTGTAATTGCAAAATGCCCAGTTCAGTGTAATAATGGTTTACTGATGTCAGGCCAGAAACATGTGGATCTTCTCTTGTGTGAATGCAGTTCACTTGGCCATTACATTTTGAATAATTTTAAATTTAATGATGATTATCTGCAAGCTGAGGCCTTATTTAATCCCGTAGTCATAAGTCACTTGCTGTGAAAGTGTGAGTAAAATGTATATGGGTTAATGTGAGAGATAAGCAGCTGAAAAGCACTGACCTGTGAGAACAGCCTTGGCTGATGGGTCAGCTAGATCCAGAGCAGATTTTCCATCAGTGTTGCGGATGTTTGGATCAGCTCCATGTTGGAGTAACACTGAGTGACAGAGGTGCAGATAAAAAACGACATGAGTTGGTTATACAGCAAAGAGTTAGGTAGACAAACCACCTCAGTGTTTGCTAAAGTAATTGATAATAATAACTAATAAAAATAATAACGAATAATGCTAACTAACTAATTTCCTGGCACCAGCACTCACATACTTCAAAAACCTTTGTCTCAAAGTCAGACTTTTGAATCCAGATATCAAACTTTTCCAGAACCTTAGCTAAATTGCAACTAATGACACATAAAACTAAAACAGTCTTGAAAAACATTTATCAGATTTCAAGAGTTGTCTGTGCTTGGACATACTCAGCAGGGATCCTTACCAATGCACACATCTATCTTTCCCTTGATGGCAGCCTCATGTAACGGAGTGTAGTTCCAGTTATCTCTGGCGTTGGGGTCTGCGCCCTGACACAAGAGGAGGCTGACAACTTCTGCGTGGCCGAAAGAGCAGGCATTATGCAGGGGGATAAGTCCTCCATCATCCCTGGCATGAACATTGGCCCCTGTCTGCAAGAGGTGCTCCACCACATCTTTCCTGCCAAAACCTGAAAGAGGATTAAAATGAATTTAAATGTAGCTTTTACTCTATGTAAATTTAAGCGTATAAAAATAATCACAACTGCAGGTTTCAGATGGAAATCCCTGCAAAATTTTTGCAGGGATCTTATTATTAAATTATGAAATATAAAATCCGCATTGAGACGCTGCAACATCATTGTAAACATACTTCATTGCCATGATTTACGTGTCAGCAGAGTTAGCGTTTATTTTGTTCAGGACAACTTGTGCAAACGCAAACTTAACACACAAAACGTAAACTCGCATTGTGCTGCCGTTCTTGCTAATATGATCCATTAATTAACGTTTTCTTTCCTTATTTTTTCTGCCAAGCTAAAGTAGGGGTCAGTATGTGTTTTCTCAGCAAATGTTGACGGTCGTCTGCTTGATAATCAAACTGGATCAAATTAGCTGTTTGGCTAATTAGCTATTAATTCAGAAGAGGTAAATTGTAGTTGTCTTTAACCTTATCAGGGGGGGACTAAAAAGCAAGTTAGCTGTAAACACGTCCACCAAAACACAACAACGCTGGCTAACTGCCCGTGACATCATGCTAGCTACAAAACATAGCGCTGCTGCATCATTAGCTTAGCTCATCGTTACCCGCAGCGAAATGAAGGGGAGTTGATTTTCGACCAGCCATGTCCTTCGCGTTAACGTTGACCGAATCGACAAGTCTCTTTACTCTGGATACATCCCCGTTACGACAGGCCTCGAACAGTTCCCTGAACGCCCCGCCGATGCCGCTGCTACCGTCGGTGGGACTAGTAGCTCCAGATCCGGGACTTGAGACGCTGCTGCTGCCGCCGCCAGAGGTTGTCGTGGTGGAGCTCGCACTGCTCGCTAGGACCGGGGCTGGTAGGTCCGGGGAGGCCAGGGCCATGTCAATGCCTCCGCTGCATTCCCTTTCATTCTCCGGGCTTCCGACGGCCGAGGTCAGCAGGGCCATCGGCGGAGAGGCCGGAGGAGCTCCCGAAAGCGAGCTGTTTCTCGGCGGAGACTGTAAGGTACTCTGCTGTTGTTGCTGCTGCGAGGAACGACGGGACACCGCCATTACAGCAGCTCTCAGGCTACAATAAGAGCTGCTCCTCCTTTCCGGTGAAAGTGGTCGTGTTTCCTGTCAGCTGTTTACTCTCAGTGGAGGCTGGCTGTGGAGAAACCCCTCTTAATTTGTCATTTATTTACAAAGCCTGAAAGCACACAATCAAGTCACAGAAAATACTTGTATGCTTGATGTTATGTTTTCATGCTCCACTTGCTCTGGCAAATATTGATTCCTTCTGTCAGTTTTCAGAATTTGCTCAGTTTTTTAATTCTTTCACATTTATCCTCCTTCACACACACAAGACCATTTGGATCAGAAATCCTACAGTGGCCAAACTGTTTCCCCTGTACTCTGCAGTTTTTGTTCACCACTTGAGAAATAAATTATACTGTACTACCAGTTGATGGCAGTGTGACAAACACATTTCTGGCCAAAACATTTCCCTCACTGCTCAATGAATAACAAAAAATAACAAAATAAAAAGACAGTGACATCCAAACCTTACTGTACAACACTGTGCAAGAGTGATGAGCAAAAGCTGTCAATACATCATAAGACAGGGATTTTGCGGCATTTTAGTTATTGTAGCTTATCTGCATTTGTCTGATGACAGATTTCTGTGCTCATCACTATTTTACATAGTAAAATTTGCAACTGGTGTATGTTTGGTCAGCATCCTCCCATTACTGCTCTTTTATTCTTTTGTGTATACATTTCTTGTCTTCTAAAAATAAATTATCTGATAAAACAAATTATCAAGCAAAAACAAATTATCAGGCAAAAATATGACAAAATGATTAAAGCAATTCAAGCACCCACATCATTTAAATGAGACCAAAAATACGAGACACATAATATAAATGAATTAATAAAGTGATGTAAACAATGAACATTTATTAAAACAAATTACCTCTACAACATCTTCTGGTGATGTTCGATAAAGTGATTTAATGTGTAAAATGTTTCAAACTGATGCATCATTCGACGTCTGAGGCCACTCAAAAGCTCCTGGAAAATACATGAAAAGACATGAAGAGAGTCAGTGCCCTGCAGCTTCAACACAGACCAAAGAGCCTGAAAGCCTTCAAACGTCTGGCTCCTCACACTGGTAAAATAAAGAAACAGATGTTGACAGACATCAAGGTACAGACATAATTGAGATTACAGTTACAGTATATAGATGTCGAGGGGAGAGACGAGGGTTTCTTCCTTATTCTATATCATGTACAATGTAATGTGGGGGGGATGCAGGGGAATGGATGTCGGGGGTGACAGTCATTGTTATTTTGTGTGATTGTTTTGGGAGGTATTTATTGTAATGGGTTATAAATATGAAAAAGGAGAATAAAGGAGAAGGTTCCAGCTTGGATTCAGAGTACTGGCCGCAGTTATGGGCACAAACAGTTATCCAGTGCAATGAGGGATTATTATTGAGATGTGCTGATTATCATTTTAAAATAAAGTGGTCATCTGGATAAACTGTAGACTTGTCTACAACCTGTCTCATCACCTCACTGTCAGTGTCTTTGTCGAAATGAATGGTGTTGCGCACTATGAAAATAAGCCCAAGACAGTAGTTATGTTAAAAATAATGATCCTTTAAGGTGAAAATAGAAATAGACTACATCATCTGTTTGTGCAGTTTACTTTATTTAAATTATCATGAATTGAAAGAGAGAGAGGTGGAAAAATGAGGTGATTTGGGTTGAAAAACATCTAGAAACAGCAGATGAGTACAGCCCAGAGGTCTGAGTTCACTGTGTGGACCCAGCACCAGCAGGGTTCAGTCCCAGTGCGTTCCTTTGGACAGACTTGTCCTCAGAGATGCACAAAGCCAGCAGCCCCCGAATCAAGTCGGCAGAATCCTGCCAATCACACATTTGTTTTTACATAAAACGTCAGCACCAGAACTGATTGGAAAAATACCAAAGCACACTGCAGCAATTACTTTCAGATCAGTTAAAAAAGATGCATGACAACACTTCAAGATAACTGATGACAAACCTTGCTATCCTCCGAGGTCTTCCTGATGGATTTTTCCATGTCACCACTTGAGAGCCACTTGTCCACAGAGGTCTCAAGAGCAGTGGCTTTCTTAGCTGCCTTGTCATATTCCTGCCGATCACATGACGGCACAGCATCAATAACTCTCAGATCAAATAAACGTGTGTGAAATCACAATGAGATCACTGATGACCAACCATTAAATCTTCTGAGATGTCATCCTTCAAGGCCTTGATGGTGGCGTGTTTGGAATCAAACAGCTCCTAAAGGTGAATGCACACTTTGTGATTTGTTCTTGTACAAAACAACAACAAAAACAACTCACAAAAAAAACAACTGTTGTGAGAATAATTCTAAGACCTAACATGGTTGAGTCGGTTCTGTTTGGCACTAGAGGAAAGGTCATGGAGCCATCAAAGACTCTATGAAATGACACGACACTTAAACATGATGTGATTCCTGTTGACTGCGTGGTCATACAATCTACTGAACACAGGATGAAACAAAGTGCAGATGTAAAACCGCACCTTAATGTTTTTTGCAGCTGTTTGGTCTCCCAGTCCGAAGGCGAGCGCCACCCAGAGTTTAAACTGCTCTTTCTCCAGATTTTCTGTCACAGACTTGATCTGCCTCTCCAGCACCAAAACCTTCAGGTCGCTTTTCTGCTGCACGTCCAGAAGGGCCTCGGCCTGCTTCCTCTGCAGTTCTTCGTGCTCCTGCTGAGCCTGCATGAATCACATGAATACCCACCAGGCATATGCATCATTCAGTGTCCATCAATTGAGCCAATGAATATAGTTAAAACTAGTGACATGACAAATTAAGCAGTTTACCTGTTCATATTTCAGCTCTAACTGCTGGTTCTTCAAATACAGATCCCGTCTCTCCTTGAGTATATGTGCAGTCACTTTGTTGCTCCTCTGTTGGAGACATTTTCACAGTTTTAGCTCACACTCCAGTTGGTTGAAAAAGCTCACTTACCACTTTCACTTTGATTTCACTGACACCTGAAATGTTTTTGGATCAATATAATTGTCTGTACAGATTTCTGAGCTATTTTTAAGCGCCGCAGGTCAAATTCGAACTAAATGATCTTGAGGAGGATTTAAACATTTCTGACTTTCCTAGTGTTGGCATCATAAACAGAAACAGCAAAGCAAGATGAATCCTGGTGTCTCGGCATTTGACCTGGTGAGTAAAAAGTTGCTATAAATTAAAGGAGTTTTCCTTTAAACCTGAGCGGCAATGAACATCAATGCACAAGTTAAAATATCAGCAGTGAAATAACAACATATCCGTTTTGCTACATTGTACCCATTGCCTGTTTGTATAGAGTATTATCACATGATGTTTTCTGCAGGCTGAACTCTGCCAAAAAGCCCTAAAATGAAGCGGAGCAGTGAACCTTGATTCTCTTAGCCATGGCTTTTCTCTGGACAGTCAGCTCTTGGCGGCTCTCAGAAAACTTTTGCCCCATTTCCAGCAGAGACTCAGTCATGTGTTTGTTCTTCTGCTTAGTTGTTGCGATCGACCTGTCCTGCCACGCCACCGTTTTCGTCACCTTTTTAAGTGTTCTCTATCAAATGGCAAAAACAATGGCATATCGATTTCATTCAGTTGTCATTCAGTTTTATACGCACTTTGCTATTTATTGAATTCTATTTCCTGTCAAAGTTGAGTACTTGAGCTCTTTGTGGATAAATTTCACCTCTCATGCGTGACAGGTTTGTGTATTTTGTTGTCCTTTAGTGTGACAGGACTGTGGTGATTCTTTAACATCTCTTACCTCCAATGTCCCCCTTTCCAAGTCATTCAAATTTTTAATGAGATCACAGAGCTCTTTCGAAGACCGGTCATGCTTCTCTATAATACTTGCAGTGAAGATTTTCATGCTCTTTTCAATCTCTTCAACCTCTCCTTTTGTTTTTTTCATGTTCTCTTCTAACATGATTTTTGTTTTATTCATATATCGGACCTCCATTTCTATTTAAGAAGTAACAGAGAGAAATCATAGTTTATAAACAATTTATGATGGCACTTTTTGACTTCAGCTCAGAGATGAACACAAGTTTATTTACCTCTAACTTCTTTGTCATTGCTCTGATTTTGTTCTCTTAATTCAGCCAGTTGATTCTGTTAAGAATAAAGAGGTGTCACGTCTGTATTGCAGATGCTTACTTGTACAAATAAAACAAGAGACAACTGGAGAACCAAAAGTTTATAAAATATACTGGACTCTGTGCATTCTCACCTGCTTGAGCTTTTTCATGTAGAGTTCTGTGAGGGTCTCTTTCTCTCTCTTCTCTGCCTGTAAAAGGTTTATTTTCATATGAAGCTCGAGCTCTGACCTTACATGCTCTTTATGGGTCTTTGAAGTCATGGCCATGGCAGCCATCTTCAGCTCATGGATCTCACTGTGGTGTGCGCTCCCCAACTGTGCCAGCTTCTGCTGGTGCTCCTGGAATCAATGATCAAATGTTATGATCAGATGTGAAATTCATATGCCTTGAATATGAAGAGTAAATATGTTTTACTGCAGACAGACACTTTACATTACAATACATTCATGTGACAGAGGCTTCTGTAGTACCTTCGCCTCACAGCGAGTAGGTTCTGGGTTCGAACCCTGGGCCTGGGGCCTTTCTGTGTGGAGTTTGCATGTTCTCCCTGTGCTTGTGTGGGTTCTAAGGGTCCTCCCACAGTCAAAAGACATGCACATTAAATAAATAAACAATAATAATTAAATTAGTCCACTTCCTTTGGCTGAGTTGTTGTACAGCTCGATGGCAGTGTGAACCAAGGATCTCCTGAACCTCTCTGTTCTGCAGTGCAGAGAGATGAGACATTTGCTGCAGCTGCAGCTGCTTCTCTGTCCTACCAGAATGTTGTGGAGAAGATAGTTGGTGTTGTCTAAGATGGACTCCATCTTACATTGCATGCGTCTCTCCACAACAGTCCTGAGTGAGTCCAGACTCCTGCCAAGCACAGACCCAGCCTTTTTGACCAGCTTGTAGTTCAGGAGGCAGTTCTTGTCGCTCCATTCACTGAAGG